AATCCACCGACTAGCGGTGGCAATGACATTGTACTTTGCCAATGCCAATATTATAACGTCATCCTTAACATACCAATATAGGGGCTTAATAATATTGTAGGCCAAGGTCAACTCAAGTTTGTGAATTTACAGTTTTATATCAAACAGAACAAATCCATTTTCTAAACTCTGAAGTAGGCCTGCATTCTAAAATAACTATGCATTGTATTTAGCCCCTATCACACCACATAAAACGGTTCCAATAGTAACTGCCCAATCACGTCACGTCTAAAACGTAAATCTAACTGCATACATTAGTATAAAAATAATACACAGCAGTGAGGGCATTAATAAGACTTACCCACACAAAGTACCTTTGGAACAGTCTAACACGCCCGAGTTGATAGCCAAGGGTGTTTGGACCGATTCAAAGGTACAGAGTGTGGGTAATTTTACTACTGCCCGAACAAAATGATGTGTATTATTTGTTTTATAAAATGATGTTTCATGACATATTACTAATGACCGGTCATTAGTACTTACTAATGACCGGGCATTAGTAACATTACATGTAAGGCAAAGTAAATGCCCGGTCACGTGTACGCTCTCAACCAATCATTTGATAATTAGAATCCGCTTCATTATCTTAAAAATACTTTTTAACTAATCCCGATTTGTCTGTGATGGATACACGCATGCATGAGGTTTCGCAAATGTACGTCATAGGGCATACACAGTGTCATCTTTAGGGTCTATATCTCTTTTCCTCCCTCTTTCTTTCTGTCTCGCTCTAACAAGTAATTATGTCCCTCCCCCTCCCTCTCTCTCTCTCTCTCTCTCTCTCGCTCTCCCTCTGTTCTTTCATGACTATCTCACCCGCAGAAAGGAAAGGTTTACAAATTTGTTTAAGATAACGGACAAGCAGAAAAGTAAAGTAAAAAAAAGTTACTAAATAAATATTAAAAAAACATACAAAGAACACCACTACGATAGTACGATATGAGGGAGGGGGTTAAGCAAAGGTATGTTCTAGCCACCCCCCCCCCCCCCTCTCTTTCTCTCTCTCTCTTTACATCAACGTATTACGATCTTGTACAGTAAAGCCTTTACTTTGACAATGTGAATACCTTGTTCAAATCGAAAGTTTTTGGTGAAGAAACAAATTGGCGATGACTTCAGAGCAGTGCAGTACGCACCTCGGGTACTAAAATTGCTCTCATGAATAGATGGAGGGAAATGGGTATTAAGAAAAGAGAATGCATAAATTGAAAGAAACTAAAGAAAGGAAAATGAAGGATCGCAACACAGGTATAGGAATATGAACAAAGAGAAGAAAAAACTTCTGTCTTAGCATTAATGTCAAGCAATTATCAGTTCTGTGACTCTGCATGTAATAGTACAAATGTTTTATTCTTACAATAACCAATAAGATGGGTTTTTTTTACAAATGATGTTCTGACAAAATCTGAAACGCTTCATGTATATATCTCTCGAGCATAAGAAACCAAAACAATTTCATTTTTTCTCAAACAACACAACATACTTAACATTTATTTACAGTAAAAACACTACCAACACACACAACATTACAAGGCCTAACTCCAATAAAACTACTTTGATTCTGTATCATAAATTTCTCCTAAATATGCTAGATCGTAATGTCTCTTTCCTATAATCTATAAAAACTTGGCAGGCTATGCCCTACAACAATGACACCTTTACACAGATGCATGCCGAATTTTGTCACACCAAGAAGAAGCAAAGTTCTCAATAAACCATCTGGATAACAAAATGGTCCATTAAAATGCTTCTGACTAAAACATAATGTAATAGCACTGGTCATGAAGTGAAAATTATCACACACATTGTAATGCTGTAATTCATTTTCATAACATCCACTTATACTTTCAGAATTGTGCGTCCTATTTCAAAGACAAGGTATATACATGAAAATGCATGCTTCTTGGTATTCAAGTCATTTCAATGTGCACAGCACAATTACCTCCTTTAAACTAATTCAATAGTTAATCCCCATTTCATATTTCATGCTTGAATATTTAAAGCATAGTTAACTGATGAACTTTTTGCCCTAGCATACTGTTTACTGCACAGTGGCATCTCATTGCAACTTGTCAACAGTGCGTATACCAATACCTAATTCTCACTTCGCAGAGAGAGGACTCAAAGCTAGAACAAACAGCACAGCTCACCTACGGAAGCAGGGAGTTACAGAGACCATACTGGCTTACAGCTGACCCGAGATGGCACTAGATAGGATTTTGCAGTAGTGCTACTAGTACAGGATGGCTTCAATATTTTAAAGATATAAAGATGAATGAATTATGAACCAATAGACCCCTCTCTTGAACACTGCCTGGGATTGTCTGTGTCATTGTTAATTTGCAATAGATACTAAACTTCTTGATGGTTATCAGAAACAGAACAAACATGAATCTGCCTGGGTAATTTTAAGTTTGGTATGTTAATCTAATGATCAGAGATCTTGATGGGATGTGGTATTCTCCATACTGTCTTTGTGGTACAATTATCATACTAATATCAATATCTAGCATGTGACATCAATTTTTCCTTGAAGAAAACTTAAAGAAAAGAAATCTTGTCCAGAAACCGGGTAGGCAACTTTTGGCTGTGCTCCAAATGTACTCAGATTTACTTTGTCTTCCTACGCTATGAGACAGGGCTTGTTTGTATCATCTATTGTACTTGATGATGAAATGCAAACAGTCAGTTAGAAATGAATAAAATACCATGTGGCTATGCTCAGTTCATTTTAGACATTGCAAAGTATCCCAATTGCATGAGGATATGATAGATAACCTTTCAAGTGATTACAACTATAACTAAACTCTGTTGTGTTATGGCACTACTCGAACTTTGGCTGAACTAGTTTATCAAGACGTTTTAAAAGCAGGACTGCACTACTTGCGGCCTCTACATAACAAAAAATGCCTACGCGGTACCCGTTGGTCCCCCATGATCCCCTTTTCTGAAGTTAATACAGAGCTGATTTGATGAGATAACCACCTGTCAGTGACCATGCTGGGAGGTCTAATCCCTCCTGGCCAAACTAGTGCAGAGAGACTTTTCAGTATTGGAAATAAGACTGGTAGCTAACTTCAGTTTGCCAATACATGTCTAAGGAAATTGTGTGAACCATAGATATCAGCACTGTTGCAGGTAAATACTTCTTGGATGTGTGATTGAACTTCTTGCCATACTCTCAAACTCCCTACATTATTCTAAATACTAAATATAAAGTCTACTTTCAGTTTGATTCGGTCTACCCCTTACCCCTCCCCCTTTTAAAAAATATTCTACTGGATAAGCATACAGTAAATCATGTTGTAAAATTTACAAATGCAATATGAAAATAGACATTTAAAAAAAAGAGAAATAATTTACAGGAATACAGTTTTTATGACTCAGCCTATGCATTTCTTAAACTGGCTTAGAATCCTTAAATACAAATAAAACAAAACAGAAACAGACAGACTGGGAATCAGAATAACAATGGTCTGTATGCCTGCAAGCATAAACATGTACAAGCATCAGTAATTATATACAGCACTAATTTCTGATCTAGTTATCTAACAAAGCTTTTATTTAATTACATTTTATAATTCGCCTGCATCTCTTGTGTTATACACTGGGTTTTTTTTGTGCTGAAATGAAATATGTACAAACTAGAATTTTCTATACAGATTGACATAGGCCAAGAGTGAAACAATGCTGCTCATTTTAGACAATGAACGACTTTTTTTTTCTCAAAAAAAACCGAACAGTAAACTTGGTTTACAAAAGAAGGACAATAATTCTGTGCAACAAAACATTTGTCACTGCCTTTCTGTAAATACATAGACAATCTGATACTTTCAGAGGGATCTGGGATCTTTTTCTGTTTTACTATGAGTCAATAAGGATTGTTTTCATCAATGCTTTTACAATGGAAAATGAAGGAATGATGTTAGGTGATAGCATAATAAAACATGGGCTGTCACGATAACTATGTACGATACCCTCCTCTCAGTCCAGTACCGAATTCTTGAACCAGTACGGCTTGTTCAGATATGGCATGATAAACCACCCCCCCCCCCCCCCCCCCCCCCCCCAAAAAAAAAAAAAAAAAAAAAACATTTTGGTTTCAAAGTGTAGATGAATGGTAACTGCACACAACAAAGATATTGCCATCTTCACTGAGATCTGTGTTATAAGATACAGAAATGTCAAACGTATTAGACTTCATGTCAAAAAAAAAAGGGCGGCGGTTTTGCTGTGTGATATCGGAACGAGCCTTTACTGGTTCAAGGCCAATACAAAGAATTGGATTAGGGTACTCTAAATAATTATCAACATGACCACAAAAAGCACCTTTATACTGTACACGCGACATACATGTAGATGAACAACAGTAACCAAATCAATCAAAAGGGGGTGTTTCACAAAGATCCTAAATCGAACTTATGGAGAGCCATTTGTAGCCTTAAAATAAATATATTCAGAAGCGAAAATTCTAGTATTTTAGACTTTTTTATAAATTCCACATCAAGAACATGAAATCTCCTTGATAATAGAAAATATAAATGACTTGAATTAACATTTTATGCCTTTGGAAATAACTTTTACAAAATATTTTCAAATATGATATCGGCTTTCCATAGTTGTTAAGTCCAACTTAGAGATAAGTTCAACTTAGGATCTTTGTGAAACACCCCCAGTACTATACAGGATGCACATATACATCATTGTAATAATTTCGAATTCGTATTGCTGTGTACATCACATCTTGGACAGCATCTCAACAAAAAACAATAATTGGAGGTTGAAAAGTTGTCGCAAGTTAAAATGCTGTCCACCGTTCAACACGTTAAACCATACGAAAATGGGGAAAAAGGTTGGCCCTTTAAAAACAACTTGAAAATGAAAACACAAGTTACAATGTCAAGTAAAATAGTTGAATATAAATTAAAGTAAATTAAAACAGTCGAATTAAAATCAAAATATTTCATCTGTAAGTATTCATGCCACAAATGTGCGTACTCTGCTACTCCTGTAAAGGTAAACATAAGATTGGGAGAAAAGTTAGGAGTATGAACAGTTCTCCATTAAAAAAAATTGTTTAATAATTGAACACAACAATGAAAAGAAAAGAACAGATTAAAAATGTATCTAAAAGAAAATATGATACATTTATATACAATTTCGGTAACACAAAATTATTAATATGCATACTGTTTATAAATACATAGATACATATACATAGGCATCGATGAGATAATGATAACCAACTGTAGAGCTCAAGGAATGTTTCTCACTCAGACCACAATCAGTGATTGTTACATTGTTTGGAAGCCAATATGCTATAAGAAAACTGTCAAGGTAGATTGATGCTGCCAATGTTGCTAAACACTCCAGGTCTACTGTGCTTACTGATGGCACACACAGCAAAATGATACATGCTGCCAGCTTTGAAATGGGTGAGAGTGCATGCCATGGGTAAGGGGAGCGCATCCACGGCACCAATCTTCTTCCACAGGTCGGTGTTGGGCGTCGCCGACTCGGATTCCTGGTAAGCGTAGAGAAGGTATCGCTTGACGTCTATCTTTGAAGCACCTCCATCTGGGTCGGCCTTCCAGGACAGAACAATACCCTCTTGGGAGTGCTTGATCTCCAGGACAGGTTTGATCGGCATAGGAGTGTAGAGGGATTGACGGGGAACGTCTAACGCTATGTTCAGGTCAGGCAGCTGTGCGGGATGTTTGGGTCTGGTAGTTTCGTTTGCCTTCTGTTGTTGCAACTGCACTTGCTGCTGCTGTTGCTGTTGCTGTTGCTGAAGCTTTTGCTGCTGTTGCTGTTGGATCTGGCGTTGTGCCAGTTGCTGACTCAGTTGCTGCTGCTGTTGCTGCAATTGATGCTTCTGGAGTTCTTGTGGAGATAATCTTGAGGCAGCGGCTGTGGTTGCCAGATGAATGTGTTGGTCAAGTTGATTGCTTTTTAGCCTACATTCTTCAAGTCCCTTCTCCACATGGTTCAACTCACTACGCAGCTTTCGTTCCTGTTCCTGCATTCATTCAGATACAAGAGGTGATTGGAGTATAATAATAGGCACAAGACTTTGGTTTTACTACAAAGAACAAGTCTAGTGTAATAATAATAATAATGGTGGCTCAGGGTTTGTACACTTACACATTTTTAAAATTCCATGACTTTCCATGACTTTCCAGAGCAGGATAATGTACATTTCCATGACCATTTTCAATGATGAACATGTCTTAATTTAAAGCGTACAACTATACATCATCCCAATACTAGGAAGCAAATCACAAAACTATAAGGTGCACCCCTATTTCGAAGATACCCACCCCCCACCAAAAAAAATAAATAAATAAATAAATAAATAAAAAATAAATAAAAGAATCTGAAAAAAATCTGAAAAAAAAAATGTCATCTTTAGTTTAAAAACAACACTGTTACTAGACCTAGATCTAACTTAGTTCACAAGCACTTCAACTGTGCCTCGTATAATGAAAGTGAAAGTATTTTTTCGAACACTGAAATAAGACGCGATCTGATCTGGTTAACAAAAAGCCACCAAAAAAAAGCCAACATTGGTCTTTTTGTTAACATCAGATCGGCTCTTATTTCAGTGACAGTGTTCGAAAATACTTTCATTTTATTACGAGGCACAGTTGAAGTGCTTGTGAACTAATTTAGACCCAGTAACAATGTTGTTTTTAAAACCAAAGATGACAGAATTTGTTTCCTCCGAGTCCAAACAGAAATGTGTACAAGCTAGTTTTCGCGTGGTGATTTGTTATCCCCTGTGTAAGTGAGCTGCATCATACAGGTGAGTGAGCTTAAGACACGGGAGAGCTTCGGCTGGCAAAGTGCCTTGTGACAGGGCAGAATTTACCGAGACTGAAAGAAAAAAAACTCTCTTCCTTTCAAATTAGGAACGTAGTTTAACTTCAAATAGTAGATCCTATTCTTTATTTGCATTATGTAATTCATGTTGAGACACAGAGATTTTTAAAAACCACTAAAAAGTAGCATTAGAGGACTCAAATATCCTGTACCTGACTATATAAGGCGCACCCCCGACTTTCGATATTTTGCTGACAGAAAAAAATGTGCCTTAATTGCGGACCTTGAGGAAAGCAGCAACCACGAGGCTAGGCTAGCTAACTGGCTGTATGCTCGCGCTCGCACAATGGATGCCAAATGTGGAATCAAATGCGATTCAGCGTTGCGATATTCGAGTAAAGAGCAACACGATTTTTAAAGGGGTTCTTGAAAACACGAGTGGCTCATGATGCATAGTTATTTACATTTAATTTATTGTTTTATGAATATTCTGTGGTAAAACCCTGGGGTAAAACACCTCCATTCAAACTTTTAATCAAAATCAAAGCACAAGCTCGATCAAAAAGTCAATCTAAAGCGTGCATGCAGCATTCGTGTAATATGTACACACACCGGCACCATGCACCGCACCTGTCACTGCAAGTCATTAACGCACACACACATCTTTCATACATGTATGAAAGACACAATAGACACGATACTAGTAGGTCCTAAAGATATTGCGAGTAATTTTTTACGAAAAAAGGTCCTGAACCACAGATTTTACAAAATGTTTTTTCCTTTGGTCACAAGAAAAATTAAATGCCATTTTAACAAACATCTTGAGAAAATTTTTTTTTCCCTGACTTTCAAGAAGAAATAGACAAATTCCCTGACTTTCCAGAAATTCCCTGACCCGTACGAACCCTGTGGCTTCTTCTTTAGCGCACATGTCCGTCACGTCGTGATGCTCCTGGTGCTGCCCCGATTATTATCCTGGCTTTAATAAATGTACATTATTATTTAAATTACGACCTCCCCCACCCTGTTGTTTTCTAACATATTTAGAAACAATTTTAGATATAATCAACAACAAAAATTAATTCAAATCAGAATAATCTAATTGATATCAAATAATACATTTATCTTATTTTTGCACAAAGGGACCCTAAATGTGAGCCAGGGTACAATGTTCCTTCAAAGTTAACTTACCTGCACATCTTGCAGTTGTCTTTGACAACTTTGGAATACCTGGCGATTCATTCCGGATTGCTTGCTGCCTGATAGCTTGGACCTGAGGGCTTGCTGGTATTCTTCACCTCTCTTGATCTGAGACTGAAATTTTGAAGAATTGAAATAACTTGGATGTTGATCGGCAGCATGAATAGGAATAATTACAATAATACATGTAGTAATACAGTCAAACCTGTCTACAGCGACCACCCAAGGGAAACACAAAAAGTGGGCTTCGTAGACAGGTTCCTTTAGTACATGTTTCAATGAAAAACCATTTTTCAAGGGGAAAAAAAAATGTGCTTGTTGTAGACAGGTGGTCTTTGTAGACAGATGGTCACTAAAGCAGGTTTGACTGTAATATGCTGCTTTTGTACAGCGCACATCACATTTAGATATTATGCACTTCTAAAACACCACATGTATTCAAGGAATAAATAGTAAAAGGTGGTACCCACTTCCTACACTTGGGTCAAGTGTGGCAAATGTAGATTTCTATTGCAAACCAATGTCTTGCTATAGCATGTTAGTGCTGCAACAGGGATTTAAACTCTGTATCTTATAATTCACAGGTACCCAGTACACACAACTTCCCAAAAGTAACACAGGCCAAGTGCAAATTCCCCCCCCCCCCAAACAAAAGAAGATTAACCCTTACTGTACTGGGGGGGGGGGGGCCTGGGAGGCCCCCCCCCTCGACATTTTCGGAGATTGCGCCGCAACCGCTTGAAATTTTGAATTGTCGTTTCATGACTTTTTTCCCTCAAGTCTTACGCACGTTTTGATACCATTTTCGTTGCAATCGGATATACCTGTGAGGTGTTACATAACAATTAGTATGCGCATGTCATCAAAAATATGCTATAATTGCATATATTCATGTACAAGCAGAAATGTGAATACAGGTTTAGATGTATTCCTTCCTAAGTGGGTGACATGAATTGATATCGAATTGCTTTTATATGTTTCTCAAAGTAACTTGATGTATTCCAGAACAAAAGAATACATAAGAAATAAAAACAATAGATATAATAAGAAATAAAAAAACAATAAAATACATAAGAAAATAAATATTTGAAAATCGCATCAAATTTGCATAAATTATCATTATTAATTACATCCAAATAAATATTTTGTGTTAGAAAAGAAGTTTCATATGAATAATGAGTTTCAACGTTCAAAAAGTGAAGTTTGACACGTTTTCTGTAAAATGCATAAAATTAGCATTTTGCATAATTAATTAGGCTATAACGACAAAAATTTGCATATTCGCAAAAAACTAATTACACCATCTTGTTCGTTACGTAAATATCTACAAACATGCAAATTTTCGTGTTCATCGGACATCCGACGGCCGAGATCATAGGGGGGGGCCTCCCAGGCCCCCCCCCCCCAGTCAGGAGGTGCTCAAAATAGCCCAGTACAGTAAGGGTTAATACAGAGACACTGCATTACATACAGCATGCCTTACATGTACAGCATCAAACCCATTATCCTCCACTTGCTACATTTTTCATGGGGAAAAAATATAAGGTTAGATACTATACACTTACCAAAATGAGTCGTTTCTTGTTGCGATGTTGTTGTGCCTTGGTCTGAATAACACTCATCTCTTCCTGCAGCTTCTTGATCTGAACCATCTGCGTCTGCTGCTGCTCTAGCTGACTGGACTGTAGCCTTTGAGCGGCAATCCTGGCTTGCTGATGCTGCTCCTGTTCCCGTTGCTCCCTGGCAGCCTTGGCCACAGCTTGGGCATGGTTGGCAGCATGGGCTCTCTCCTGGGCTTGGATCTGGTCCTGGGTGCTGGCAGCTTGACTACGGGCTAGGTTCTGGTAGTGCTGGTTCTGCTGCTGCTGCTGCTGCTGGAGGGCTAGCTGAGCTGAGCCGGGCTGTAAAGTAGAGGTGGTGACAGTTTGAACTGCGCCTGCACTAAGAGGTCTCACCATCTGCACCTGTACCTGACCAGGTGCAGCCTGGATTTGCTGACACACTTGCAAACTTTGCTGTAGGAGCAAAGAAACAAGGATGCCAGTTAGAATTGATCAGAAGGCCTGAAAATCACCTAGAATGAGCTATTTTGTTCACAAAAAAGCCTTAACTATGGTCTGAAAATAACTCGCCAGGGCCTGAATTCAGGCTATTGCCTGAAAACTGGCATCCCTGAAAGAAATAACATTGCAATACTTTAATAATAAGTGTAATGTCTTCTTAAAAATATAGAAAACAATTATTCTAGACGAAATGCTACTTACAATTTATATCTTCATCAGGGAGAGTAAAATAATGATTGGCAGAAAAGTGTGCAGTTTGTGAAAGTAAAAGCTAGCAAGTGAAGGAGCCGTGGAAACCAAAAGCTTGTGTACCAGCTCATGCATACATGTATTAAACAAAGCCAATATTACAAAGAAGCCGTGCCAGTTGTGTAATAAAGGCTAAACCTGAATTTAGAATTATCAGTGTTTTCTTCATGAACAGATATTTAAAAATATGAGTGGAAATGCCAGAGTCTTCTGATGCAGCAAGAATTAATCTGCAAATTGAAGAAAAGCAACCACTTTTTCTTAGGCCTCTCATACACTTACCTGTTGGGTAGAGGTAACTTGAAGCTGTTGCCTGGGCTGCTGCAACCATGTCGGGCCCGGTTGTCTTATGGCAAGAGCCGCAGCCGAAGCAGCAGCCCCTGGAAGCTGATGGACACCCTGTCGACCCTGCTGCAGCATCTGCAGAGATATCCGCTGCTGTTGCTGTTGAAGCCTCTGCTGTATGGCCACGTGACCCTGCATTCTGGCTTGGTTTTGTATGGTTGTCAGCCCGGGTTGCAGGCTGCTGATGGTAGTGGTCTGCTGCTGCTGTATGGGGACCTGAGATACGGCTACCTGAGAGGTTGCAGGGTGACCTCTACCTGCAGGAGCGATCTGGTTCTGTCTGGGGCCATGCTGGAGGCTCACCACCTGAGGGCGTACGTTAGTACCCTGCAGCAGAGTGGTCACCACTGGAGGATTCACATTCCTGAGCTGTAGTACAACATTGAAACGAAACAAGGCTTTAGTAAGCACGCACACATAGGCATGAATCTTCTGCATGCTTTCCTTAAATTCCACAGTAATGATGGTTATTATTAACAGTTAGGCTAATAGCTGGAATTTCTATAATTGACCTCTCTGAGCTGTAGTATAACATTGAAACAAAACAAGGCTTTAGAAAGTTGTTCTGGTTTGATTTGTTTCTCTGCAATATAACTACACTGATCATGTATTTTGCAGCAAAACTTTCAAATAAAATGCTTATGTACAGTTTGGAGCACCAACCCCTTCTTGAAAACAAATCTAAGATAAACAATATTTTAAAATCACTCACACACAGGCATGAGTCTTCTGCATGCTTTCCTTAAATTCTACAGTAATGATGATTATTATTGACAGTTAGGCTGATAGCTGGATCTCTGTTAATTGACCTTTGACCTTGGTCTATGGACTACAAACCCAAAATCTGATACGACTGTTATAATAAGGCTAATACCTGGAATTTCATCAGTTGACAACTATAACAATGACCTTTGACCTAGCTACTCCAAAATCTAATCAGATTGTCTCCCTATGGTGATAAATACTATCACCAAGTTTGAAGTTCATATCTCCAGTGGTTCTTTAAATATCGGGATAACGAGAAAGCAGGACAGACAAACAGACAGATGGAGAACTCGAAAACATGATGCCACTGGCACCACCTTTGCTGGGTGAAGGCATAACAATCAGGTCTGAAAATTATGGATGGATAAGAATACTAATACCCAAGAGATTACCTGAAGGTTTGCAGCAGATGAAGATTGCTTATTACCCTGAGGTGAGACGCTTTGTGGAACACCTGGGGAGCTTCTTTTAGGAGACGGTATTTGCCTGGAGGTGGAACCAGTCCTTGTTTGCGACGCGGGTTGTACAGCAGGTGATCGTTGGCCAGGTCTCTGGGTGGCATTTTGTGAAACAAGATTTTGGGTACCACTTTGCACTTGTCTTGTATTTGCTGATACCGTCCCTGAAGCTGCAGGTGCGGTAATACTGCTGCTGCCTGCGGAAACACTTGTTGCTCTTGAAACTACTGTATTTGGTGAAGAAACTGGAGGTGAGTTGACGAGTGCGTGAGGCGATCTAGTGGTCAGTGTTGTGTGCTTGCTGGCAGGCTGTGCATCCTGTTGTTTGTGCGGACTAGGTGCAGACGGTTTGGCAGGTGGATCAGGTTCATCGGTAAGATCTATTACTTCCGGTTCATCCTGAACCTGCACAGATTTGGTTGGCTTGCTGACCAAGGAGTCCTTGTTGGTCTGAGGACCAGTGTCTTTGGATGTTTCAGGCACCTTTGTGGATGCAGTGTTTGTGGAGTGCTTGGGTGATCCAGGAAGCTTTGATGAATCGGTGGCTGAAGGCACATTGGTCTTCACTGAGGAGTCTGATTGTGCTTTAGAGGGGGATGCAAAATGAATAGCACCTGCAGTGCTGGTAAGTGATTTGCATGGTGATGGAATGGCTTGTGAAGACGTCGCTTTAGAAACTGAAGACAGGTTAGCGTTCCCTGTGTTAGAAGGTGTTGGTTTGGACGAACTAGTCTCTTGTGGTCTAGATGCAGCAGTGGCAGTTCCTGAGGCAGTGATTGCAACATTTGGTCCCTTCGTTGACTGTGGAGAAACACATAAAGGGCAAACAAATGACATAACTTAAAGCATGCAAAGTGATACCCCTAAACAAAGAACAGTGTTTATTTCCCCCAGTTTTATTGGGTTTTTTGTTAATAATTTTCTCCAAAAAGAAATTCCTAAAATAAGTGATAGATTCCACAAATAGTCCACTTCCAATGAGTTTTTGACTATTAAGAGGCTGGAGAGAGGATTAACCACCCCCAATATTGTTCTATTTATAGGTCCATACAAATTTTTATTTTCCACAATTTGCTTTCACAACCTATCATGAACATAATCATTATAATATTGCTCAATCTACATACATGTTCATAAATTGTTCATCAATATGCTTTCGTAAAGCCTATCCTTCCTGGCTGTGAGACCATCGACATAACCCAAACTTTTAGGACGGTCGTGCTACGGCAAAACAATGTATTTACACTTGGCGTCTTTTCCAGTAATTCAGGTTTAAAACTTTACAGAAGTACAGTTCTATCGGTAGTTTTGTTAAATATTTCGTATTCTGACTGAGAATAAATGAAGAGGTCATTGTTATGTACAATAAAAAATAATGCTACAAAAGTCCCACATATTCAAATAATTTGCATAAATTAAAACATACATTGTTTTGCCGTACTAACCAAGCGAAAGCTATGGCAGAACAACGTATGTCTTGATCAATGATGGGAGCTGCTACGGCAAAAATCGGTGCATTGGCAGAATAGCGTAAGTGTACAAACTCATGCATTTTTGACAAAGTTAGCATCAGCACATTTGCTTTCGTCTGTGGAAGTGTTTGTGCGTAGTGAACGTGCACACTCACTTTTCCAGGGTCTCTATACACAAACTAAACTGTACTGTTAATTGGAGAAGTGAGCACAGCAAACAATGTATTGCCTTTAACATTGTTTTGCCATGAACACCATGGGTGTGTGTTGAGTAGGGGCCTGTGTATCGCTGCCAAAATTAGAACGTTTATTCTGGAGAGGGGGAGCCATATTTCAGTGATGGGGTGCATTGGAGTATTAATATTTCATTGGGAGTTAGATTATACTTGTAAAATGTCAAATACGTTAAAAAGTAAATTTAAAAAAAAAATTTTTTGGGCCATATCACGGCCAAGGATTAAACCTACACCCCCTGTGTTCTAGCATTCACTGACATTTTCAAAAAGCTCAGACTAACAATAAATATAATCATTGAACAGGATGATGCAAGCTACATGGCACTAGTGCTTTAGCTAAACCACAAAACAAAAGTAGGAAAACACAGACTTTAGTAATTAAAAAAAAATTACATCCTGGGTAAATATTGTAAAACCGATGGGGAAATCCAATAAATGTGAAGACTAATAAAACAGAGGGCATGTGCCTTTTCTTCTTAACATACATGGATACAATATATGAACTGAAAGCAGAATACATGAATCCTCTCTTACAGTGTGATACATTCTGTTTATACCATATTGTAAGAAGATCTTTGCTCCAAGTATCCTAATCAAGCTTTCGCTTGAATAAAAAGGGAAAAAAATTGATATTGTATGGTAATTTTTTTTTTACGATAGCAATTATGCAATGAAGTTCTCCTCCTTTGAGAATACTAACGGACTCTACCTAGCATTTGATGGTTTGCCTTGCTTATGGCAATACCCTGCAATGGCAAGTCAAACATGATACCAATTAATTCATCACTCACATACAAACATTTCACTCACCATTGATTCAGTGGATGCAGTATTAGCAGCAGGGGAATCGGTTGTCTTACTCCCAGCATGTGAGGTGTCCATAGGGGAGTCTCTACTAACTGTTTGGTTTGTCTTTGGGGTCAAGGCTGTTGCACCATCGGATGAACCAGGTTCTTCTGTGGACTCGTTGGTAGTAGATGTCTTCATTGGTGAGGCTACAACCGGAGAGGACTTTCCTGAGGAGGGAGCGTCAGATGAAGTCCCAGCTTCACTTGCTCCAGATAAGTTCTGTAAAGCAATCCATTGAAAAGGGCGTGACTAACATGAAAACTCTTTGACCATGTGTGATTTATAAATTAACTGATACATTCAAACCTGCTTTAGTGACCACCTGACTACAACAAGCACATTTTTTGTTTCCCTTAAAAATTGTTTCTCATTGAAACATGTACTTAAGGAACCTGTCCACAAAGACCACTTTTTGTGTTTCCCTTGGGCGGTCGCTATAGACAGGTTTGACTACCTCCATTCAATGAATAGAAAGATGTGGAGAGAAGAGTAGAAATTGATCTCTCAAGTACTCTGAAATTAAGCATTTTTGCTTGTCAGATCTCTAAGGGGGACCTAAAGTTTTACATACCACCCAAGGGACTTGGCAGTCAAATGAATGTCTTATCCAAGCGCAATGGCCCAAGGAATTGGATCTGGAACCCAGATGATCACTTCTATGAGAATTTCCTGGCTATACAATCAAATTGTGGTTCACTTTCTAACAATCTGAAACAAAAAAATTTAATAGTGCACAAATTACAAGGAGCATTTTCTCTAACTTTCCAAGGAGAAATTCCAGAATCATCTTAGGTAAATTTCTGTTTCTAAACAGCACAAAACCTGAATTATTTGATAAATGATAGGTCTTGCCAAATCTGGGTCCACTTTCATTCACTATTTCAAAACAAAAACTACAAGTCTTCAACAAATTTGCTCACACCCAAAACCAATCACAGGCAAGTTCGGTAAGTTACATCAATTTTTGTAACTTGATCTTGACTGAAAGTGTTATGAAACGGAGCCCCCCCCCCCCCCCCCCGTCAGGTTCAAGGGTTTCTCCTACCTTTTGTCTCTGCATGACCTTGTTTAGCGTAGCTTTGAAGACCTTTCTCTTGGATTCCAGGTTTGTTGGTTTAAGAGTTCCAGGAGAGACAGGATCGCTGTTAGACCTTGAGGATGTTGCTGCAGCAGAAGGTGAACAGTCTGAGGTAGTCTGAGTTGGTGGTGGTCCTGATGATGATGCAGGCGCATCGGAAGAACTAGTAGTACCCTGTTCAGTTTCCTGTCAAGAGCATGCAAAAGATTAAATGTCAAGGATTTTCCAACGACTATGTCAATGAACTGGTTGACTAAGAAAAAGCAATAAATTATGAGGAACTTGATTTAGCAATTCGACCCTTTATCGAATGACGAAAAGTGCTATTTGGCCTACATAAACAATTACCTGGTAACAAACAATATGTAAAATGCTCAAGATCAAACTGTTTACCACCTGCTACATGTATGTCAATGTTGCCACAACAGACCTACAACCAGTGGAACATTCCATATATTGATTATTGAATGTCAAAGAGTGCTATTTTGTCTTGCAGTGAAGTCAGAAGGTGTGATCCCAAAGTGATCCAAGATGATGCCTGTGACAAGATAGGTAAATCAGAAGATCTAAAGGTACCCTTTTCATTCCCCTAGCGAAACATCAATGTAACTTCAGTTAGTCTCAAAGAGCTTGTCTGTTAATCATAGACAGTGAGAGATATCAGGTTAGGAGCGTTTATAAATACTCGTTATCATTTTCCAGAGCCCTTTGTATAGAGGTCTTACAGCTCTTGTTGTATGGTACTCTTCATCATTCTCTATTTACTGTTCCACAATCATCATTCTTACCATAGCTTCTTCTTCTTGGGAGGGCGTTTCCTGGGGTGCTTGGCGGGTTCCCCCTTTCTTCTTCCGTGAGAGCTTGGTTTTATGCGTAAAAGTCGTCTGTGACCCAACGTTCTGCTTCTCAGCCACAGACTTCTGTATGGTGATAAATAATAATGATAGTAAGGTAGAGTGGCTTCTTGTATAGCACTGATCACTCTACAACCCTTGTGCTCCACTGATATTACCCTTCTTTAACATTGATACTACCACTGCGCTCTTGCTCCTCTCCTATGCTTAGGGTTGACACCATTGGCTTTATGAACCAGCAAGAACCTACAAAGACCACATATTTTGTTTCCCTTGAAAAGGAATTCTCATTGAAACATGTACTAAAGGAACCTGTCTACAAAGACCACCTGTCTACAGAGACCAATTTTTGTGTTTCCCTTGGGCGGTCGCTATAGACAGGTTTGACTGTACTGTATGTACTGAGAACAGTTACCACAGATAAGAAACCACTTAAAGTAGCTTGGCGAAGAAATTTCACATAATCACTCAAAATTGGCAAATTATGCATGTCCGGATTTGAACACACACATTCTGCTCTAAAGTCTTGTAAATATAAATGAAACGCGGTAAGAAGCTTTTTTCCAAGAACCTTCACAAACTTCTATTCCTGGCTTGAACAGTTTGTTCGCGCAGTAGGCCGATTATGACACCACTGGTTGGGCACGATCGCAATTCTAGGCCTCAAGCTGGCCTCTCGCACAGCTCGAGTGCGGTATTTGCATAGGCCTATACGTATACATTATCCAGACTTTGCATGCTTCATATCCTGACCAGAAAGTGGAATAACAATCTCTAGAAATCATGTAATTACATATAATGTTAAGCAAATTTATGTTATATAATACGAGGGGTGAATCGTGCAATTCGATTTGTCCAAATACCCTTCCGTTCTGTGTAATTTGCTGAGATGTTTTGCATTTGTTCGGTCATCATGCCTTGGCGTGATAGTGATTGCTGTTGATTATATACGGAGACCATTATGATGAGTGAATCACGAGCGTCCTTTTGCATTTTTATGTCCTGCAGTTGCAGTTCTATTTATGAATGGTGCATATTTGCAATTGATTTTCGCCAAATATAACCTCACATCTAATCGTCTGTTTTGTTATCCATGAAATTTGCTAAAAAGCCCCACACATCTCGAAAAATTCGAAAAGTCTCGCCCAGTCACCCCAGTGACAAGGTGCATGACAGATCGATCGCCAGTTGAGCAGGGCCGGGGAAGCTGAGTGGCAGCTGGCAGCTCAGCCAGCTCGCGCTGATATACTATCACTGGACTTGCACCAGCATCAACGCCGTCTTCTCCGAATTGTTCTCTTTTTTTCCATTTCTCCTACACCCCCATCATCATCATCGTCATTATCCCTACCACTATCACTAGTTGTGGAGCTGTGCTCGTCAACTTCGAATTCTAAATCAAGTAAAACCTCTTCTTCGAGCTCGGACATTTTGATCAGATATTTAGCGTTCGAGTGGCGTTTGTATACGTACATATGTATAATGCATGCAGGCGAGAGTTGTGCGAGAGCTCTTGGGAGCACTCTCGCGCTCATGTGCCCAACCTCCTACGTCACAAATCGTACGTCACAATAGCGGGCCGATCGAGGGCGGAATAATCGGGTAGTAATTTCACCACTTTTAATAGCAAATAAGTCAATTCTGTAACACTTTTTGATAACTAAATATGAACTATTAGAAAGATTGTAACATTAACTTTGCAATGATACCAACATTATTAATGTTAAAAGCCTTTTGAAACCTTCGCTCAGCTTCTTTAAGCTCACTTACCTCCTTGACCTGGAGGGCAAGATTTTCATACTTGAGTTCCAGCTCTTCATAGTTCTTCTTCCAGGTGACGGTCTCCTGCTGCCAGTGGGCCTGGGCTTCGTACATGACGTTTGTCTTCTGGTTGAAGGTCTGGACTAACTTCTCATACTTTTCCTTGATTGACTGAGCAAACTCCTTCCATTCCTTCATGGGCAAATATAAAACAAGAATTAGTAATGATAAAAATAACAATTTTAGTTTATAGGCATTTCTATAGCGCCGTCTATCTAGAAATTCTATTCCGAGGCGCATTAATTATAACCACGGCTTTAGCCTTGCTGTTTAAGTTGCTGCCATTACAGTGCTCCAGCATTTCAAGTAATTAATTTCTGCCAGGTACCCATTTACCTCAAGGACAGGTTCCATGATATGGGAAATGATGACATTGGCAGAAGATGGCTACACAAATGTTAAAGATGGTAAAGGAAAGACGATATCATGTCATTCAATACCCGACATTATAAAAATAGGCTTGCCAAACAGCTGTTCTGAAACATTCAATAGAAGATGTAAATGTCAAATCAATGCATGTGTGACTCAAGTGCTGTAAATATAGCTTTAATGTAATATGAAGCAACATGCAAACTACAGCTTTAACCCTTACTGTACTGGGGGGGGGGGGGCCTGGGAGCCCCCCCCCCCCCCCTCAACATTTTCAGAGATCGCACCGCAACCGCTCAGAATTTTGAATTGTCGTTTCATGACTTTTTTCCCTCAAGTCTTACGCACATTTTGATAACATTTTCGTCGAATCGGGTACACCTGTAAGGTGTTACATAACAATTAATATGCACATGTCATCAAAAAGTGCTATAATTGCATATATTCATGTACAAGCAGAAATGTGAAGACATGAATTGATATCAAATTGCTTTTATGTTTCTCAAAGTAACTTGATGTATTTCAGAACAAAAGAATGCATTAGAAATAAAACAATAGATATAATAAGAAATAAAAAACAATAAAATACATAAGAAAATAAATAGTTGAAAATCGTATCAAATTTGCATAAATTATCATTATTAATTACATCAATAACTATTTTGTGTTAGAAAAGAAGTTTCATATGAATACTGAGTTTCAACATTCAAAAAGTGGAGTCTGACAATTTTTGTAATGATTCTAGTTCCCTATATATATTTCCAGATTTGATATTCATGAATGTGTATTCATAATTTATGCAAATTAACCTATGCATTTTCAAATATCATAAAAATAATAAAAACCTCATGAATTTGAGATGATGGGAACATTTATTCAATACATTTTCAAGATTCTTCACAAGTCTACGGACAATATGTTGAGTTTTTCTGCAAAATGCATAAAATTAGCATTTTGCATAATTAATTAGGCTATAACGACAAAAATTTGCATGAAAGGAAAAAACTAATTATACCATCTTGTTCCTTACGTAAATATCTACAAACATGCAAATTTTCGCGCTCATCGGACATTCGACGGCCGAGATCATAGTCAGAGAGTGCTCGAAATAGCCCAGTACAGTAAGAGTTAAAGGACTATTACCAATCTTCTTTTTCATACTCCCATTTCTCTCTGGTCTTCAATCCTTTAATGTACATGTATCTATACATGTACAGGTTAATTTGGGGGATGTGATTTTATGTTTCCTTCTTTAATATATTACTCATTTTTGTCACTACAGTCCCCTTTAAATGTCAGCTGAAGAGGAAATATGTCATGCCAAAACAATGTATTACAGATAAGATATATTTGACATTTAAGCTTTTAACTATTAACTCATTAAAAAATGTGATGTCATTAAAGATTTGGTTGAAGTGGAATCACAGCTGAAAGCGTATATGTTTGGCATTTTAAAAAACAGATATCTTACACTGTGGGTAAAGATGACAGGTTTCTTATTTGCATCCGAGTCTGCAGTTTCTCCAGTGCCCGGAATCTCGATACCTGTAGAGAGATTAGTACATTTGGTCAACATACTTCATATTTAGCCTAGGCCAAGGACAAAAATCCTAGCTCTTAAATCTAAAATGTGTTTTTAGGGGTGTTTGTTTTGTTTCCAATCTTGATTTGATCTTTATAGATCGGCTCAGTGTGAAAAAAAGATAGTAATACATCAGCCGCAGCACCAAATCCGATACCAGACAGAACAAAAAAAATTACCTTGATTGGCCAAGGTTGGGAGTATGGGTAGAGTCGGTTTGGCATTGTGACCAAGGTATTACAGGCAACTAAAAGTTTCTGGTGTAGCACAAAGAATTTAAGTTTGAACACCTTGGATAAATTTCAGTCACCAACAAAGCTTTTCATAAACAGTGTAATTTGTAGATGAAGGGAATTTTGGTAAGGCCACCCAAAGGGGATTCAACTAAACTTCAAGGGCTAAAGCTACAGTCCCATATACGTCCCGGACCGTCCCGGATCATCCCGGACCCCATCCGGGGTGATCCGGGATTCGGTCCGTGTTGACACCGTGTTGGCACCGGGGTGGTCCTGGATGGTCCTGGATGGTCCTGGATGGTCCTGGGCGGTCCGGGAGTCGACCCCGGATGTTTTTGACGGTCAAAAACTGCCGAGGTGGTCCGGGACGGTCCGGGACAATAGTTTGATCCGGGGTGATCCGTGTAGCCACCGTGCTGGGTCCGGGGTCATCCGTAGTGGCACCGGGGCGGTCCGTGTTGATCCGTGGCAGTCCGGGAGTGAGTTATTGACCGCCCAGGACCATCCAGGACCATCCAGGACCATCCAGGACCACCCCGGTGCCAACACGGTGTCAACACGGACCGAATCCCGGATCACCCCGGATGGGGTCCGGGATGGTCCGGGACGGTCCGGGACGTATATGGGACTGTAGCTTTAAAAGCATCACACTTTTTTGAACAAAACATCCCGGACCATCCCGGATCACCCCAGACCATGGTCCGGGATGGTCCGGAGTGGTCCGTGCTCGTCCGTGCTGGTCCGGCTTTATATGGGACTGGGGCTTAAGTAATATGATCTGTCCTTTGAAGTAAAAAAATTGTACAAACAAAATCTTCCCTGAAGAGATTTTTAAAGGATTTGTTCCTTCACAAAAGCTCGTTTTTATTTCCAAATATTTTTGTTGAGCTTTCTAGAGGCAGCTTGGTAATAGCTCCTTTGTATGTTGTCATGAGGAAAGTTACAGATGTTAAATGTCAATTTAGAGGACCTAGGTATAAAAGCACAACGTTAATTTGGTTGGATCGTTGAAGCTGCTTATTTGACTCATGCTTTCCTTTCACTTAATCACCAAGGTGATCCATTCAAAAGATACATTCAGATTAAAAGGGCTTGTGCCATTTCATACAAAAAGCTTCATCTTGCTTACACTTTTACAGGGACAAAGAGACAAGTTTAATGTCCAGAAAGAACAATTACAGGATTATCAGATTAGGATAGACTTTGGCATATATTGTACATCCAGCTAAGACTCTATTGACCACTTTTCTTAGAAAAAAGTCATTATTTTCCCAGAAACTGCAAAGAACCAAAAGATGTGTACAACAAAAGCTACATGTAATGGGCTAGAGGAATAATGCAACCAGATAAGCATACATGTACAGTGTACATCCTTGTTTGTATCAGTCTATTTTAATTTGAACTACCAGTACTGTACTTCAGGTAATTACATGTCCACTTCCAGTGTATACGGTGCATGCATTCCACATATTATGCATGTATTGGTTCTTTTGAACTGGTGGTGGTGATCGAAAGCAGTAAATTTCATAGCTCATTCAGTAAATACAGAAATTAACAAAAGCCAAGAATTTGTTACTGGACTTAGTTGACATAAAAACTGCAGATGACCAGTACTCTACCAGGAATACAAAGATGGTTATTACGTAAATCTCTGTGTATAAGACGCACCCCTATTTTTTTGCCCCCCCCCCCCCTTAAAAAAAAAAGAACTCAGTGTTAAAAAAACCATGCGAGAAGGACCTTTATTTTACTGAGGTGCAGTTAAAGGCGCCGATTTGTGTAACAATGTCGTATTTAAAACTAAAGAAGACGGACAAATTTTCCTCTTTATCCAAACATAAATCCAGCCATACAGGAAGTGTTGTTCTAGTTTCTGAGTGGTGAGTCAACATAAAATGTATGACAGAGCTGGGAGACATTGCCAGGCACAGTGCCAGGTGGAGGGGCATAAATCAACACTTAAAAAACTAGATGGAACTTCCGACTGCGCGCAGTCGAAAGTGATGCCTCCGTCATAGAGCAATTTTACAAACCAAAACGGAAGAAATATTTCAGATTCAAGTTCGGTTGTAATCCATTAACAGGTTCTCAGAATATGTGATTACAAGCTATTTCTCACATGTATGACCCTTTGATCTTTGAACTCATGACCCCAAATACAAAATACATACATGCCTTGAGTTTGACGGTAATCCATCCATCAGTTCTAATGATAATGCAATCACAAGCTATTTTTGCATACAAAACAAGCCCCATGACCTTTGACTTTGACCTCATGACCCCCCAAATTGAATCAATTCATTGGCTCTGCAGGTTACATACATGACCTAAGTTTAGCAGGAATCCATCTGTCTGTTCTTGAGATAACGCGATCACAAGCTATTTTTGCATACATAATGAGCCCTGTGACCTTTGACCTTCGACCTCGTGACCCCAAAATCTAATCAGTTCATTGGCTTTGCAAGTTACATACATTCCCAAAGTTTGGTAGAAATCCATCAGTCGGTTCTTGAGATAATGCAATCACAAGCTATTTTGCATACATGATGAGCCCTGTGACCTTTGACCTTTGACCTCGTGACCCCAAAATCTAATCAGTTCATTGGCTCTGCAAGTTACATACATTCCCAAAGTTTGGTAGGAATCCATCAGTCGGTTCTTGAGATAACGCGATCACAAGCTATTTTTGCATACATAATGAGCCCTGTGACCTTTGACCTCGTGACCCCAAAATCTAATCAGTTCATTGGCTCTGCAAGTTACATTCATGACCAAAGTTTGGTAGGAATCCATCAGTCGTTTCTTGAGATAACGCGATCACGAGAACGGGACGTACGTAGGTACAGACGTACGGACGGACGGACAACCCAAAAACATAATGCCTCCGGCTACTTCGTAACGGAGGCATAAAAATAAACAAAATAATAATAATAATAATAATAATTATTGTATACATGTATAAGACACACCCCCGACTTGAGATTAGATTTTTTTTGGCGGGAAAAAGGTGCTTCTTATACATGGACATTTACAGCAGTGCTAATTTCAACAGACGTATCAAGAGAAAGAGTTAACTCCTTCACAAGCACTATACAAAGTACAATGTTCAAAGGACACAAACAAACTGAGCTCACCTTCGATGATATCTGCAGTTTCTGTGCGACTCTTCTTAGAGACCGGCCCTTCCTCAGCATCCTCGCTATCTTCTGTCAAGGTCCGCTTCGAGGAGGAGGAAGGCTTATCTGAGACTACCTGCTGAAGCACATCTTCACTCTGGGACTCTACCCGAGCTATGGCCAGTTCAGAGACCTCAGAGACCTCCTGTGATTCTGGGAGTTCAGAGACCTGAGAATCCTGTGGTTCTGGGGTTTCAGAGGTGTCCATCTTTTCTGGTTCTGGGTTGTACAGTTCAGAGATCATAACAGGCTCATCCTCCAAGAGAAGGTCATCATCGACAGAGTCCATATCACCAGGTTCATGAGGTCCTAAGTCAACGCTACCATCACTCAGGTCTTCAACGTCTCCGACCGAGTCACCAACCTTGGCAAGGGTTGAATCATCTTTTTTGGATGCTTCTTCAGATTGCTTGGGAAGGGAACTAGCCGTTTGAAGAATTTCATCACCTACAACAGGGCTATTTACATAATCAGATTTCTCAGGAGGAGAAGTAATCTTAGAGGAGTCATCTAAGACATCATTGCATATATGGTCAGTGTCATCGGCTGCAGGTTCAGTGGAAACTAGAAAGGGCTGGGTGTCCCCACCTATGCAATGAAGATCATCGGATTGTGAAGCTTGTTTATCATCATCCATCATGTCCACAGCTATGCAGTCTGCAACATCGTCGTTTCCTGTACATGGTGCACTAAGTTTTGGTACATGTATAATATTGTCTTCACAGACCTCCTTTCCATCAACTTTTGGCACAGTGTCTGGGATTCCTGAAGACACTTGACCTTCAGTGTTGGGGATTTCTAAACAGGTAGAAGTGGCAACAGAACCGTCATCCACTTCCCTCTGGTGAGAGTCTGCTTGGTCAGTCACTTTAGTAGTGTCAATCGGAATCTCCACAGAACTGTTGGAGCTTGATCTTGATCCTACCCTGCTGCTGGGAGATGAAGTCTGAGGCGAAACCTTTCCCTTTAACAGATTCTTCTTCAGTTTCTCTGTTATCTTTAACAGCCCCTTTCCTGTTATCTTCTCAACATCGAGACTCTTCTTAGGGTCATCAACCTTTACAGCATCCCTGGTTTCAGAAGTTGCTGCCTCATCTGATGTCATATTCTGGACTTTATCTCCTTGCTCCACATCTTGACTGTTCTGGAGTACACTTTCCTCAGAGGTGACCTTTTGTGCTGAAGCCTTGTCATCAACTTTGGAGTGTAGCTCAGAGGACATTGTCAGATTTCCACCTGATGTGCTGGCATTGCTCGGAGATGGTGTCAATGTTTTGGCATCACCTGTCCCTGTCTTAGTGGAACCTAAAGGTATATGAAAGAAAGAAAACACATGTATTGTTTAATCATAAAAAGAAGAGCACTGCCAATGCTGTAGGTCATCATACTGCACACTTGACTTGAAAGGCAAGTTTGAAATTGGGGGCATGAAAATTCAAAAGGGGAAAATTATCATTAGAATGTTTTTGTCCATATCAGTCACACAGCGTTTAGTAGCACTTCACATTCTTCACAACGGAATGCTTGAAGAATAATTAGCAATGTTCAGCTTCAATTGAATAGTTGTATTTTTAAAGATATACTCCCTACCCTTTGGTAAAACATGTTAATCATCAACCTAGACTCTAGGAATAGGGTAAAGACAATACATGTTACAGGGTGGTGCCAACATATTTTCCACAAGGTCTTTTGTTTCATGTCATAAGGTTCTTCCCAGTACTATTGTAATTGTTAAATGAAAATAAAGACATTAATCAATCAATAAGTTCACACTTTGAGGACCCTCTGAAATATTACTTCATGGATCAATTCAATTTCAATTCATCATGTAATTCCTATTGATTCAGGTAAATCTAGTAGAGTACTACAATGTATCAAGTAAAAGGCAAGCTCACCTTTGTCTTGTGAACTTATTTCTATCATGTTGTCCTCTGTGTCTGATAGAACTACGATGTCGTCAACCGGGGGTGGTGTAAAAACCTCTTTTACTCTTGAGGTATCATCATTTGTAGGCACCGATGCATCCTTTCCTTCCACAACAACGATGGGACTTCCTTGATCAGAGTCTCTCTCACCAGATTTTGTTTCTTTCACACCCATCCTTGCAGTAGGTCTACTTGAGGCATTGCTGGCAGCTGGTGGGTTTTGATCGCTTTGTGACCGCAAGAGAGCTTGTTTCTTCAGCATGTCACTTTTCTGTGTCCTGCTCACACTGGATGATGGAACACTCTTCCTGGCACTGTGGACTCTCCTTGGACTTGTGGATGCACTTTCAGCTTCTCCTGATGAACTGGTGGCCTCTGTTCCTTTTGCTGAAGGCTTTTTCCCATCTATGTGCTTTGGTATAGAAATTTCAGTTCGGTGAGGGCTTCCTTTGTGATTTTCCCCATTACCAGTTGTTGAAGTCTCTACATTAGCATCTTCAGAATTTTTGGCCGACATTTCCTTGTTTTCTACTACATTAGCCTTAGGTGAATAGCTCCTAAGTGATTCTATCTGCTGTGACATCGTCAATACAATTTTCTTTTTATGCTTATTAGTATTTGGCTTTGCTGTCGCAGTTGGAGTTTTCTGGGTTGCTTTGCTTTCATGAGAATTTGAAAGACCTTGTGAGTCTGCAGGAGAGCCTGCCTTGTCCTTGGATGAGGTAAGGGTAAGTGTAGTCCTGTCGTTATTTAATACATTCTCTTTGGGTTCCTTATTCGATTGATTAGAGTCCTCTTTCTCACAAGCATTCAGTGATACTGCATGATTGCTCTGTTCACCTATGCCAGCTCTCCTGTACGTTGATGCTAATGATTTAGAAGACTGTTCATCCAAACTGGAACCACTCAGGTGCCTCCTCTTCTCGGCATGTTGATCAGGGTACCTCCCAGGGCGATCTTGTGACCCAAGTGATGATTCCCTGTCTCCTGGAGGAAATCTCTCAAATCTACCTTCACTAGATGCTATCCTCCTTTCCCCCATAGCTTCGTCAGGATAAGACGATGCCCTCCTTCCAAAATGTTCCCTGGAATTATTATAGTCTCTGCCATACGGGTCTCTGCTCCCTCGGTTTCCATAATTGCCGCGCGGAGACCAGTGCCTTCTTTGTTCAAACCGATTATCTTGTCCTCTGCTTCTATAGGGACCAGGATACCTCCCATCAAATTGACCCTGCTTATGGTAGTCTCCATAGGAATTGTTTGAAAAGCCGGATTCCCTGGATTGAGGAATGTGGCGATACCCCTTATCCCTGGGGTCGGGTCGATTCATTTTACTCCCGCCTTTTTGAGTTGCAGTTGGCATCGATCGATCTGATGTAAACAAAAAGATGAAAAACAAGTTAACGCAAAGCGTAGCATCTCCTCGCCGGGTACAGATGGCCTATACAGTACGTCAGAACAACTTACCTCTATTAGAGTTAGACTATACTATTATATTACGAAGCAAGGAAGTTAATAATACCTGGGGATTGGATGTACAGAAAGTTTACTACTTTATGGAGTATGACCCATGAGAAGATCTGAAAATAAACTTTATTGTAATTGGTATGCTTGGGGATTTAAAAAAAGAATGTGAATAAAATTAGGGATTTACAGAAGAAGAAGAAGTATATTATATGAGATGGAGACAAAATTAAAGAACAGTGAAATGCAACATGTAAATTTGGTCTACAGTTACAAAGTTCTATCAAAATCCACCAAACAGAAACCACATTTTAGCTTAGATTAGCAAATATTAATTAGCAATTTTTGCATATTTAATGAGCTGTGACCTTTGACGTACTAAATAACATTACTTACAGTATAGAATGACAACCACATTTTTGCATATATAACTGTATTTTTGCATATTTAATGAGCTATGACCTTTGACCTTTCACTTACAAACTCCAAAATTAAACTTCAGCTGTGTTCTGATACCATGTACCTTCTCATCAAAGTTCAATTAAATCTGTCAAACATTATTAAAGTTATCAGACAGAAACCTGATTTGTTACAGACGGACGGCAGCAATAATATATCCCTCCAACTTCGTTGGCGAAGGGATAATAAAAGCCCTGTAAACTTTGAGACTGAATTGCACTACGGTCTCCAAACCCCACTGTAGCATTTACTGAGCATTTTTATTTATTTGCATTATCATCCATGTGAAAAACTCTTCACGACCAGATTCATCAAGGTCATATGGTAAACAAAAAAACAAGGTCTGCACTCTACAGGCCTCTCAGTGAAATCGAATTCAGCTACATAACATGGAAAAGACATTTCTACTTTCATGTTGTTCAATCTGTGATTTGACTGGCAAAAAGAAATTAAAATGTGATTAAAATGTGATTAAAAGGAGCCAAGAGTCAACTCACATACATGTACACATTGGTATTATGCTAAAACATGAGATTTTAACTGACAATTGGGTTAGAGAATTAAATGTATGCATACCGTACAGAGGTTGCAACTTATGCAAATTTTACTCAAGTATGTTATTATTTGAAAGATCCTTCTTGGCATACTTTGCGATCATTTTAAAAAACTATTGAGAAGGCTTTATACTTACTTTTTGTTCTCAGGACTTTGATTCCTTCAATTCTGTATCTTAGTGATTCACCTCTTGTTAGAGTGTAGTACCTTTAGTGAGATAAATTATTAGAAGGCATATTAGTTCCCCCAATCCAGATTGATAAGTATATAAAGGTACCTGTATGACTATCAGGCCTAAAATAAAAACTTGTTGTATTGCAGACCTGCCAACCTCTGGAGTTCAAAAACTGTATTCTTAAGTGTCAAAAGTTGTATTTTACTGACAAAAGTTGTATTCTTGAAAATAAACACAGATTGTTACGCGGATCAATGCCTCTTACAGTTTCTACCTACAGGAAGAATTTTTTTTATTGATCATTGGTTGAATAATGTATGCAATATTTCGTCACGACTGGTGTGTTCGATGAACCAATAAACATCCCCAAATTGCCGATGTGAGATGCTTTATAGAACAGAATGGGCATTTTGCCATTGCAAATGGCGGACGGACACACAAAATATTAATTTAAAAAAAAAAAGGAAAATCGTACTGTCGTATTTGCTTCTAAAAATCGTACTAAATACAACTAAATTGTACTGGTTGTCAGGTCTGGTATTGCCCTTTGCGACCGACCCAAAAATCTGAAAATCTACGGTTGGCATTTTAAAAAAGTTTTTTTTTTTTAAACCGTTTTTTAGAATATTTTTTTTTTATTAATGAATAAAAATATATATATATTGTTTGTTTAAATGGGATATAAATGCATAAAATCAAATTATTCCAAAATTCTCACTCGTGCAAACCATGGATAATTATGAGGTGAAAAAGATACCAATGATATGGTGACGCTGAAGCACATGTATTAAAGCATTAAAAACTGAGAAAAAATCAGCTAAAAGAGGGCGGGGAAAAAGAAAAAAAAATCAATTCTGAAAATATTGACAAAAAAGTTTAAGAAAAAAAACTTTTCTGACCGACCGACCAATGTTTTGGCACCCAAAGGGCAATACATGTACAACAAGTTTTTATTTTAGGCCTCACAGCAGAGCTACTTACAGAGGTACACATGTATCAAAAGGTAAACCAGTGGAGAAGGTAGAATCGAAGGAAAGTGTTATAGTGTAGTAACTTTCGTGAGATAAATTATTAGAAGGCACATTAGTTCACCCAATCCAGACTGATAACTATATACCTGTATGACTATCACAGCTGGGAGGTGTTTCACAAAGATCCTAAGTTGAACTTATCTCTAAGTTGGACTTAACAATTATGGAAAGTCGTTGGCATCTATGAAAATAGTTTGTAAAAGTTGCATAAAATGTTGATTCATTCATATTTTCTATTACCAAAGAGATTTCATGTTCATGTAAACCAATGGAGAAGGTAAAAGTGACAGAAAAAAGGGATCTGTTTGTCTTTGCCTTCATCTTTCCAGATATGAACATTAATAGCCCGGCTCCTGCAGTTCAATTATTACCACTAAGGCCCACACAAATATTCTAAAATTAAAAAAAAATAATAATATTCAGCTCATGAAGCTAATCATGTCTCTTTCGACTTCTATGAGCTTTACATTGTGAAGCATACTTTTATTTCCCATTTAAAAATGGACAACACATACACAACAACAAAAATGCACAATGTCCCAGGTATCATCTAATATAACGAGAAGGAGGAGGCATGGATCTGAAGGTGAATGCCAGGGCCCTGTTGCACAAAATTTACCATTGATGGTAACTTTGCCATCAATGGTAACTACTATGGAAACCTTGATTTTGATTGGCTGTTGAGCCCTGTTACCATGGCACTTGCCATTGATGGCAAATTTACCATCAATGGTAGGTTTTATGCAACCGTTTCCAGATGCATTCTAAGCTCACAAGCACCTGTGTCACTGAAGTTTGAACTTACCCACTGCCATGCTTCAATACAAGCTTCTTTGAAGATTGCCTAAGTTTGTCTAACGTCACTTTACAAGGAACAGTCAGCTGAAGGTGGTTTCCAACATCACCTTCGATGAGAGATGCTGATGAGCGTGTCACTATTCCGGTGTTGCTGCTACCGCTGTCAGTGTCTGTGTTTATCACGACAAGATTGATAAAAGAGTGACCATGAGAGAAAGTTTGCAGATATGAAAATCTATCCACCTCTTTTTTGGTCCTCCTTTCTTTCTCCTTCTCCTTCCTCTCTGCTGCCCATCTAATTAGTTCATCTGCTTCATTCCTCTTCACATGTCCATACTATCTCAATCATTTCCCCTTATCCCTGTCACTGTTACTTCCTTATTGGTACAAATATTTCATCAGGCTGTTTCGCACCATGTCTTGATTCTAGACTTATGCAAGGCCTTCGATAAAGACGCTCAACAACAATTTCTCTTCCAACTTCAAAAGTATGGAATCCAATGTCAGCTGTACTTGGCATTCCTCAAGGGTCTATCTTTGGCCCACAATTTTTTTTTTTTTTTTAATCTACACTGTATCCCCATTCAATATCAGATTACAATTTTCATACCAGCCGGTCACAAAGAAAGGTGAGAAAGACTAGAATTAAACAACTAAACGTGGTTAAGCAAACTACTACATTTGAGTGTTCATTAGGTGATCTATCTCCAGAGCTTTTGAGGTACTTACTTCTTGGCATCCTCACTGGGAGTCCTGCCCATGAGTGGGCCTAATCTCCTGGTATTAGAACCTGAAAAGATACAATGAAATCAGAGGATCAAAGTACAAGTAATAATCACTACTGAGTAAACAAGACTAACTAGCTATTGTTGTTTAAAATGTTTGATTTTCCATTAAGGTACCTCTTTTAAAAAACGTTTGCAATTTTACATTCGGTGCCCAGCAGTGCCCCGCAAGTACCCCTCTTTGATGCCTCTTTGTTTGCTATTGAAAGAAGAACATTGTATGAACAATAGAGAGTACCGAAGTTGTGACATCTAAAAATCTATTTTTAGAATTTCTCAGTTAGCATAAAAAATAATGCCCAGATGTTGAAAACCCATTGAATATGTTAAGTATTGGCTGAGATACATGTTTGACCATCTGAATGAATAGATTTCTTATAGGAACTCATTTTTATGTTGCTCTGGTTCTTATTGTTATGAACCAGAGCAAAATAACACTGAGTTCCTGTAGGAAATCTATTTATTCAGATGGTCATATCTCAGCCAATACTTAACATGTTCAATAAGTTTTCAACATTAGGACGTTATTTTTCATGCTCTTTCGGAAAATTGAGAAAATCTAAATATAGATATTTGATGACATCACACTTCACCACTCTATCGGGCAGTGAATTATGATCCTTGGGGGCACACTTGAACGCACATGTAAAATACCATTGAAGATCTAAATCCTTTTACAGGCTAATGATTATTCTAAATTCATTTCCAAGTTATTTTGGTCATTGTTTATATGTTCATAAGTCTAATATTTTTCTTGCATCCGCCATACGACCACATGCAATATTTCCCAAGTACAATGGCTATGTATGCATTTTAGATAACAAAATGTGTAATCCACAAAGAAAAAGAAACGCTTTGAGGTATTTCCTACATATATACATGTACATGCAGGGGTGATAGAGAGCATTAAAAAAAAAAAAAAAAAAAAAGGGGGGGGGGGGGAGGTTCTCAAAAATATTTATGAAACTTATTTTAAAAGGCATAAAATGTTGATTTAAATCATTCATATTTTCTATTATCAAAGAGATTTCATGTCTTTGATGTGGAATGTATGAAAAGGCTAAAATACTTGTATTTTTGCTTCTGAATATATTTTATATTAAGCTACAAACTGGTGTTTGTTAGGGTTTATTCTCCTTTAACCATAAGATTTGACCCCTTAATCAAAGCACTGAAAAAAGATATCGGTCTGACTACAGGACTTACAGGTACATGTAGATACATGTGCATGTTCACATCCAACCACAATGGACTGAAGAACCTTCTTGCATTTTTTTTTACAATGATCAAAGTTCAAATCAAGGTCAACTTTACTGCATTGATGGTTAGAGGCTCTTTTCAATCTTTTTTTTAATTGTCAAATGATAATATGATGTATAAAATGTGGTTTTGTGTATGCCTCTTGCATGTCCCTGTACGTTATCTAAATTTATAACACACAATGAATACGTTCTTTCAGTATTTTACATGTACACATTTTAAGATTTAGTTCAATTTTTTTTTTATTATGGAAAGAGATTTTAGGGATTAACCAAATGTTGATTTCCAGTTCGGTGTTAGTGTTGCTAAATTAAAACAGTCACTGCACGAACGACGCTAATTCATCGTCTAACGAGCACATAAAATATGTGAAACAGGTCCTTAATACTATGTGATTCATACATTCTTTTGTGTAAAATTAGTTATTTTATGAGACCATAGAGATAAGTGTAAATTTATTGTACTTGTCATGATATCTTTAGTTTTGATAAACTATTTTTATATCATCATTGTGGAATCATGTCTGTATGGTAATGTCACAACGGTGTTTATTTTTATTTTTTCTAGTTTGCAGTGGTGTTAAGCTATCAATATCGATATCGGGCTCTTAATTTCATCAGCAAATTTTTAGCTTGATTTAAGGGCTTTTCACTGCTCTAAACAGTCTCACTAACCCCAAACTTGAAACACATTGACACTGCCTCCCACAAGGTACAGTCCTAGGACCCTTACTATTCTCGTACTAAGTACAGGGTATATGAAGAGTTTCATTCCAAAGCAGGCTAAATCCACTCTTAGCCTTTTAGAGTACATGAAGGACTTTTTATTCACCACTCTCTCTCTTGTTTTCATTTCTTTTTTGGTATATAAATGGTAGGACTTTAAATCATTTGTTATTATCTTTAAACAAATTTTTAAATGAATTAAATATATTTTCATCAATTTGTATAATTCTATCTACCATATTTTATTTTTTACTTAGCCAATTTTGGTGTGAAACTGGTTGACCGTCTCTTTTCGCCCGTTAAACCCATATAAAAACAATTAAAATTCACTGCCAGACACATTCATAACTGCCCCCCCCCCCCCCCCCCCCCCCCAAGAGCAAAATAACATCGAGTTCCTACCGTATATACCTATATCAAAAAGTTCTTATTTAATGAAACTTGGACTAAAGGGTTATCAAGTATCACCAATCATGCTAGTAGCATTTCAACAAATTTACTTATTTAGACTATGTTGTGGCATCATCATCAAAAACTTTAACCTGAGGTTAAGTAAGTTTTTGAGCTTTGAATTTAATTTTGAAAGTATAAGTTCTTATTCCATGCAACTTAGACTAAAGGGTATATCCCCGATCATGTGAGTAGAATTTCAGATCAGTTAGTTAAGGTTAAAGTCAATTTCAGGTCAACAAACTTAGACTTTGTTGTGGCATCAACATCAAGATTTTGAATCTTTAGCATAATTTCAAGTGTTTGTTCAAATTCCATGAAGTTTGTACCCAGGGGTTTAGTGTCACAAATCACAAGTCATAAATTCCAGGTCACAAGGTCACAGGTCATTTTAGGTCAGTAGACTTGCATTGTGTTAACATGTACACAACTAAATATGAGAATTAATTAATCATTTTTGTTATTTGTTCATATTTCATTAAAGTTATCAATCTTGGTACAAATTATAGTAAATAATTCTTCTGATAATTCTTTGTCAATAATCACTTCAAAATGCTGATTATTTTAAAGGGATTTCTTTTTGGAGGGCCTGCTAATGGTCCACCCTGCCTATAAATAATGTCCAAACCTCAATTTTTCAACCAGGTGAGACTGCCACGAGCGTTTCCCTTATTTTAACAAGGGAAATGCTCTTGGCGGTCTCGTCTGCATTATGCAATTTGATAGGTTAAAAAATTCTATTCACATGATTGGGGATACTTAATAACCCTTTTGTCTAAGTTGCATGGAATAATAACCTATACGTTCGAAATTATTAAAAAAATTAAGATGCCCCAACTGTCAACAAACCGGTAGTCTAAATTTTTTTTTACCTGAATTGACCTTTAAACTTGACTCTTTGACCTGAAATTCTACTCACATGATTGGTGATACTTGATAACCCTCAAGTCCAAGTTTCATTTAGAACTTGTACTTTCAAAATAAAACCCCCTCTTAACTGGTAAATAAAGTTGCGGTGATGTCCGAACGTCGTCCGGATGACATTTACCCCCTTCCAATTAAGACGCGTCAACCGAGGTAACGTCCATACAATATCGAGGTACATGTACATGTAAATCTCACCCTAGTCGAGCCAGGGTGATATCGAGGTGTCGTCCGCACGACATCCTGATAAACGGCCTTATTAAAGGGGCACGTTCCCGCTAGCGCGTACGTATTTTGAGCGCCCTCTGGAATACGGGGAACATGCCCTTTTAAGACGCGCGCAAAACTTTACCTGGGTAAATTAAGTCATCACCGTGAAAAAAATGTAAACATGTACACATCGCGCGCCTGCTGATCGCCATGAGACAGGTGGCGGTTGTTATGGTAACCTACCCGGGTAAGGTTTTTGCTCACCCCTTGTTTTACGATCAGACCCCCCACTGTTTCTCATCCACATATCACTCGGGTGAGATCAAAAAAGCTCTATTAAAGGGATCGTTTAACAATGTTAAATCTGAGATACACGGTCCTACATGTTATCAGTGTCTGTGATATGGTGTAACGTTGAAGCCCTAAAAAAATTGCGCTTCAAAATGATCAAGAAAGAAGTGCCTCAAAAAAGTAAAAATCTTTGAGTGACCGGTTATACCATACTCGTTTTCCCGAATAGACTGTAGTGTTATGTAAACTGTCAGGCGAACGGTTTTCAAAATTTGTAATTCCAATCATAAATATCTTCATAATCAGACAGGCGATCGGCTTGTAAAAGTCATGGGGTTCCTGACTGACCTAAAGGTTTATAATTATCATTGCATCATGAACTAAATCCAGAATCTTGTTTCAGAATCTGAGACAAAGTTACCAGATCCCTTTAAGATGGGGCTTTATATAAAAAAAAAATCAAAAACTTAATCTTGGGTCAAGTGCTTGATGTTGACGCCGCCGTCACCAGAAAAGCAGCGCCTTTGTCTTGCCGTTTGCTACGCAGGCAAGACAAAAATGGATCCTTTTGGTTTACACATTAGAGCTAGTAGGTCTATCCCGTAATACGGTTAGACCCACATGTACATGTATTGTAGGAGTGAGTCGACCACACCTACATCCATGCAACATGTAGGCTACAAAACAGTGGCCTGGGATCCCCACACAACTAAAAACATAAAACCCATTGAACGAGTTCAGAAACGCACTGCAAGATTTGTGACAAACGCCTGTGTTAGAGACACTAGCATAAAAAAACATCCTCATCTCACTAGCCGAGGCTGGCCATCTTTGCAAGAATGAAGAAAGGCGCAAACAACCCAGTCTCTCCTCTTTCCACAAAATGATCAATGGACAGTCAACAGCCAATTTCAACAAACCCACTCAAGAATAGACATATTTGCGAACTCCTAGTCCTACACCACACAACAGTGTGGAACCAGCTTAAAGTTTAAACTGGAGACCGTCGCCCACAGCCACACTAACCCTGTCAAACTGAAGTTCAAAAATGGACCTGACATCCCCCCAATCAACTTATCAAGTACAAATTAGTCTACCCTATCCGCACCTCCACAGGCTCCAGTTAAATCTCATACTCATAGACATAGATCTAGTCAGACAAGTATCTTAGGGGACCAACCAAGTGCAAAGTACACAACACAAGTCACAAATGACTGGTCCCTGGACATGGACTCTGCATCTGGAGCTGGATGAACTTGATCAATGTCATCTCACTCTCAGCTAACTCCGGGAAGCTCCAACACCGGCGCGCAGCGCCGGTGTTGGAGCTTCCCGGAGTTAACTCTCAGCAAGCGTTACTAATGCCTGTTTGACGTAACCCTGCCTGTAATTATAAAATAAATGTTGCAGCAATGCAAAATGATACAGTATCAACACAGGGCTGTGTTTCTGAGTGTTAGTGGTATTGTGAGTTACAAGTGGAGTCTGGAGAGCCAGCTAGTGGGCATCGCGTCGGACGTCGGCAGCTGCAGCAGCCGAAGCTGCTGCCTGGCTATAGGGCTAGCATGCTAACAACTAACTCCGGGAAGCTCCAACACCGGCGCGCAGCGTCGGAGCTTCGGGTGGTTTGTTGGGTGGCTACTTGCCCAGCCGATTGGGTGATTTGATCGTTAAATCTTCAAAAAGGGTACTTACAATTTTTACATCATAGGGTGCACGACTTCTCAGGGCTCGACTCCAATCACTAAAATGTATCATTTGAAGAAGTCTTCGATGGTAAAAAAAGGTTAATTCAACATACTACACCAACGATTTTTCCATCTCGCAGCGTCGATTCAAAATGGCGATGAGCAGGTACGCATGCGCGGCAGTGGCGCAAAATATATGAATATTCATGCTATCGAGCGCCGATCGCTCGAAATTGCTGAATATGCACGACTCGAACAAACAGAGTGGTGAATGTAAACAACCGCACGTGTTGAACTGTCATATCACGAGCACGCGCGATGGAGATTTTTAAGGCAATATCGGATGTCGTCTCCGAAATCCTACCATTTCATCTCAAAAAAGAACAAAACGATCTACTAAGCCATGCCTTGAAGGGGAAAAACACCCTGGGGATACTCCCAACAGGATTTGGGAAAAGTGAGTGTTTTGGTATCCACCATCTCGTCAAAAAGAAGGTACTATTAATATCTTTTATCTTTTAGTTGTATCCATCTTGCCCATGGACATAGAGTGTATCAGTGATTATTTTACAGTGGTGTACATAGGACTTTTCCTGAAAGGGGAAAAAGTATTAGGGGGGGGGACACATATTAGGGGGGACTTTCAAATTTAGGGGCACTCATAATTTTTTTCTGGAGATGCTGTGGCCTAATATCTAGGCCTACATAAAATTAAACAGTTTTCACTTTTATGCTGGAGGGAATAATGCCAATTAAAAAGTCATCTTTGCCTCTGATCTTTCTGAAAAATAAGATCTTTTTTTTAAGTATATAGTCTAGGCCTACCCCAAAATAACTAAATAATTAAATACATAATTAAATTTGATTGCCACTAGTTAGCAGGAAAACAAATATCGATCTGGATCCCAATTCAAGACCAACTCGAAAAAAAATTACACACACACACACATTTCCAGAAATCATTTTGATTATAGTGGAGACCTGAAGAGGAGAACAGGCAAAGGTCACTTTCATTTCAATGTAAATTAGAAATACAATTAAGGTTAAAATCTTTCAAAATATTGCACAAATTAAGCAATATGCCCAAACATTATCCCCCAACATTATCCCCCATCGTGCCTGAAATCAAAAGGTGCTACTCCCCCACCACTTTTTCAAGTTGTGTCCCCTTTCACTTGTGAAAATGCCCCCCTTATTCCATAAGTGCCCTGGCCTAGCTTAAGCTTATCACTTGATTTCGACACCTCTTTTTTTCACCCTCTTTTTTCTTTTTAAATAGTGCCTCATTTCGAGCTAGGAATATTTGAGCATGATTTTGTTGGTGGGATATCCTGGGAGAGATTAAACCAAATTTGTCGGAGGATTGCCCCCACCCTCGTAGATACACCCCTGGGGGCGATCAAGCTAGAACTATATCTATATAGTATATCCAAGATTTTGTATTTAGTTCTACTTTAACAAGAACATTTTATTAAATTGGCCCATTATATTTTTGTTCGTGTGGAGAAGGGGGGTCCTGGACGCGCTCATCCTGGACATAGTAACATTATTTTATGCTAATTCATCTCATTTATTTATTAACCAAATAATTCAATAGTTGGAGCCTGCACGTGCAAGCCTGCCTATGACCCTTGTTATGGCCCCACTACGGAGCTTGATGCTCAACCAGGTGGAAAGATGGAGGAGGGTTGGGATTCGTGCGGTGGCGTTAACATCAAAGAGAGAGATGTCAAAAGAAGACTTACAAGGTATGGTTCATGAAAATCTTTGAGGTAACACTTGCATTTTGTAATCAATGTACGTGCATGTACTGTGTTCAATAATCAAAATGAATAAACCACATGAACAGAGATAATCACATAATTCCAATCATTTTATTATGACATACAATGAACATTCTATCATGATTATTCCTATGATAGGATTTCCCCGTTTATTTTTTGTTATAGGTCGGTCAAATTTACTAAATTACAATTCTATGAATAATAACCTTGGCAGAATAGTTTATCTGAATGTCTTTTGTGTGTGTGTGTGTGTGTCATTGACAATTTTGCAGGCCTTTCTGCAAAATTGAAATTGGTACTGTGTATACATTTGATACTTTATGTCACTCCTTCTGATCTTAGGTTTACAAACAGGAGATTTCGACCTGGTGTTTTCCTCACCTGAAGTCATCACATCTGCAGCATGGTGGCCATGGCTGCAAAAGAATAAAGGCAGGATCTCCCTGTTGGCATTGGACGAAATGCATTGCCTTTCAAAGTGGTAAACACTTATTTATCATCTCAACGTTATATTTTTTATAAAGCAGGGATACCACTGAAAATCACCTAGAATGGGCTATTTTGTACATTTAAAAGGACTTTTCTATGGCCTGTTATAAGGTGCCAGGACCTGAATTCAGGATTTTGCCTCATATGTGTTGGCCCTGAATAAAGGCTATCAGATTAAAATGTTCATATCATTTGAAGTTTCATGCAATCCTCTTTAATGATTTTCTTAAAATAATAATCTGAATACTTAAGTAGATTCTCACTTTCAGAAAAACTCAGTGCGCACATTTTGAAAAGTATTTGGTTTGACAATGGTCATTGCAGCTGAAATTCTGGAGGACCTCTTTGAACCTAGAGACATAAATGGCTCTAAAGGTTATAGAAAATAACAGACGTGATTCACTGCAGTAATATGGCATTTTGTGTTATTAATTAGTTACCAATGTATACAGATCCTGTGGATTTACAGCATATGGTGAATATCATCATAAGTAGTCAATCCTGTTGCATATTTTTCAGCACTTTTATTTATAGTTCTTTCCTTTTAATTTTACTAGGGGCAAGACTTTTCGTCCAGAATATCTACAGGTGGTCAGCCTCAGAAGTATTGTATCATGCCCCATTATGCTTCTGACAGCTACAGCCACAACCAGCATCATCAAAGAAGTGCTTCATCTATTACATCTAAAGGAGACAGACATTGAAACAGTGGCACATATCCCAGATAGGTAAAATCATTTTATAAACTAGATGGGGTCTCGACTATGCGTAGTCAAAATGTATGACTCCGCCATTGCCAGATCAGAAATATATTGCAAATTCATGAAGAAAGTTACAAAACTTTGGAGAATTAATCAAAATAATATTAGTATATGGTATGAGCTACAAATAATATGGTAACTTAAATTAGTATCTCAATTGACTGAGGAGAACATTTGCTTCAAAAATCATGACATCATTGCTACTCTTGTGTGCATACATAGGCTGTTTTTCTCCCCAAAACCTTTCAAGATATTATGAACATATAATATGTGTGTGACCTTAGACCTTTGACCTTGTAACCCCGAAATCTAATCAGATCATTGTCACTCCCAGGGGCGTACGCAGGATTTTTTCAAGGGGGGGGGGTTTTAAAATCTGGCCCAAAATATTTTGCTCCCGAAAATTTGAAAATCGCGTCGGCCAAAAAGTCGCTCAGTGGGGGGGGGGTAAGCGGACACTTTTTTTTTTTTTTTTTGGTAGTTCAAAAAAAAAAATCGCAACGACTCAGCCAACCGAAAAGTCGCTCAGTGGTGGGGGGGTAAGCGGACACTTTTTTTTTGTTTTTGGTATCGAAATTTGAAAATTTGACATTTTGCTCCATTGGGGGGGGGGGGGGGTAAGGTCATCTTTTTGAGGTCGGTCATGGGAATTTTTTTATTTTATTTTATTTATTTATTTTTAATTAAAAAAAAAAAAAAAAAAAAAAAAAATCCCAAAGGGGGGGGGGGGGGGGGTTTTAGGAAAATTTAGGGGGGGTTTACACACAAAAAATTACCAAAGGGGGGGGTTAACCCCAAACCCCCCCCCCCCCCCCTGCGTACGCGCCTGGTCACTCCCATATGCATACATGAGCCACTTTGAAGTTGATCCGTCAAACGGTTCTCAAGTTATAGCAAGAACAAATACAGGACAGACAGATGACCCAAGACTCAATTAAGAAATAAAAAGTATCATCACATAGGCTTCATATGAATTAATTGGTTTTTTTTTAATACCAACAGACCAAATATCCACCTATCCCTGGAAAGGACAACATCCACAGATTTCAAAGAGTATCTGAAGGACTATCTTGAAATCTTAAAGAGGGAAAAGGACAAGGCCCCAAAGGCTATCATCTACACACAGTGAGTAAATGTTCTTATTTCAAGCAAAGTAACAAAATAATTTAGTACATGTAAAACTACTAAATAAGAGAGAAGTAATAGTAGCACTGTCCAATGTTGTACTTTGATTCCACCTCAACAGAAAATTTAATCCAGATGATACATCTTTACTTCTTGCATAAAAGTGATTATACATATATTTATTGGTATATCAATCACAAATTATTGATGAAAGTTTTAGAGTCAACATTTTTCTACAGACAAAATAATCTCCATCTGTATACATGCTTGATATATTTCTTTGATTTTCTTTAATTCTTGAAATAACGGTGTTAACGCTGCTTTTATCTTACAAACACATGAAATATTTAAGATTACACCAGTTTCATTTCTTAATATTCTCCTCCATTCCTTTCACACATTGGTTTGTGTATTATCTTGTCCCCTTCAAGATAATTAAATAAACATTGATTCCTCTTTTACTTAATACAGGAGCGTTACAAAAGTAGCAGAGATATGGGGATGGATGCAGACGGAGCTTGGTAATCATCCAGCAGCAGGCCGCCTATGTGAAATGTACCATGCCAGCACCGACCATAAGAGCCAGAGCAGGATCACTCTGACACTCCCTCAGGCAGGAAGCAGGCTACGCTGTGTTGTGGCCACCGTAGCCTTTGGCTTAGGTATTGATTTGCCTGACGTAGAGTATGTCTTTCATTGGGGGGTACCGTCAGATGTGATGGCATACTGGCAAGAGGTTGGGAGGTGTGCCAGGGATGGAAGGGCAGGGAAGGCCAAGATGTATATAACTCCATCCTCTCTATTTTTATCCAGAGTGGATGAAAAGTTCGTAAAGATGATTACCGCAGTAGAATCAGGGCAGCTATGCCTTAGAAGAGGTGTGCTTGATAACCTCTTTGTCCCAGGAATGAGTAAAGATTCATTAAAATCTTGTTCTGCCAATGCAGACTCGTGTTGTTTCGTTTGCGATAAAAATAAAGAATAAGCCATCAACACCTAGATGGATCTTCAACTGCCTAATGCATTCACTAGCTATTTTTGCATATATAATGAGCCCTGTGTCCTTTGACCTCATGACCCCAAAATCTAATCAGTTCATCGGCTCTGCAAGATACCAAAATGACCTAAGTTTTGCGGGAATCCATCAATTTGTTCTTCAGATAACGCGATCACAAGCTATTTTTGCATACATAATGAGCCCTGGGATAAAGAGGTTATCAAGCACTCAAAATCTATTCAGTTCATTGACTCTGCAAGATACATACATGACCCAATTATGGCGGTAATCCATCAATCTGTTCTTGAGATGACACGTTCACAGACTATTTTTGCATACATAATAAGCCCTGTGACCTTTGACATGATGACCCCAAAATCTAATCAGTTCATTGGCTCTGCAAGATAAAACATAACCTAAGTTTAGCATGAATCCATCAATTGGTTCTTGAGATAACGCGATTACAAGAACGGGACGTACAGACGGACAAACCGAAAACATAAAAATGTTCATGTACTTCAAAATGTGCAATATGTGTAACGTTAAGCTGACTTTTTACTGACCTATTATATGTTGAAGATATTTGAAAGCATTCTTTAGCAAATAGTTTAGTTTATTTGCCTCTTCTAGTAATTATTACTTCACTTTACATCTTGGCCTTCCTCAAACTTTCATTTTTTGCAGGGCTCCGATACATAATATTTTGTTGAAACCATTTATGTCAAATATCTTAATGGTAATATACCTCTGTCCATTTAAACCTTGCTGATGCATTTGTGTAAACCCAAATTTTAATTGGAATTGTCATTACAAGACATGTTCTTCCACATGTCCAAATTGTTAGAGAGTTGCTTCAGTTTCTTTCCAAGTTTTTTAGGGTCATGTACTTTGCCGTCATGTACAAATCCTTGAAAGGCTGAATGTTCCCTGCCTGGGAGGTAGTCGAAGAGTGCATCCTGCTCATATTCTTCAACAAAACGGACAATATCATCTTCATATACATTCCGTCTTTGCTTCTGATACTTCGCTCCCATATCAACAACGTTCGCATTAGTGAGCATGGCATCCAACGAACTCCCAAATGGGCCACTCATCTCTGCACACCTTTTCACCTGCTCTTCAGTAAATCTACCTCTGGAAGTCAGCAACATTTCTGCAGTTGATTTATTATGAAAAAACAACAACATTGTTTTGAGTAGTCATCTATAATTAACTGGATAAAAGAAGTTAAATGTGAATAAAGAAAGATATATTTTGTGTTATTTTCACCTGCAATGTGAAAAAATAAAATAATAAAGGTAAAGTCAAAGGCAAATAATTTTTTTTCTGTTTTGAATAATTGAGAATAGTCGAAACTTAGCTAAATTTGGGCTAAAGGCTTTCAACATAACCCATTCTGCCACTTGGTCTAATACGTGTTGGTCTAATTCCCAGATTGTGCAGAAATCAAATATATTATTCTGATTTGTTAAAAATGTTAATTTAGTTGTCCCTAACCCAATCATTATGAACATTGTTTCATGTGAAAGAATATACCTCTTATCATAAGAGTATTTGGTGAGATCTTGCTGGAGAAAATAACCGCACTGTATATCAAAATAGAATCACCTTACCTTTGTAATCCATGTTCACATGCTCATTTGTCTGATCAAGGCCGATATTCCCACCAGGCTCCCCTGTTGCGTTTGCTACTCGATTCCACATGTAGCTGATCTGAAGCTGAGGGTCTGCAAAACCTCCTACACCTACATGAGATGATAAGGGCATCAGAATTGGATGCAATGCATGCACATAAGTTAAAGTGCACTCCATTAACTCGGGGAGGGTTATCACTTGCAATTTCCCTTATATCCTTATCAGTCAGAATGCAATTAAAAAAATATTTTTCACTAAGGGGATAAATGTTATCAAGATAGCTTACTCTGTATATAGGCCTGTAGTACAGGTTTTATGCTTGGTTACTATTTTTAAACATAGATTGAGTCTGCAATCGCTTTTGGACACGAGTTGTCTTTTAAAATACTAGCTGTTGTCTTAAAGCACCAGTAAATGTATCTGGATTTTAAACTTAACGTTGTCATGGTTTTATAACACTGAGAGTTTGCCCCAATAAGTTAGCCATTTTGGTACATGCAAAATATATATGTACATACATGCAAGTAAGTAGTGGCCATTGATGAAGTACTTTGGATGGTTTTTTCTCATGGAAATGAAGCATGTCTGCTTTCCAATCATCGATCATGGCAGGTCCATTTCCCTCGCGAACAGCTTCACGTCTTACAAGATGGCAAAGACCATCGTACATGAGAGCCTTGGTATGGTTGAGTACAGGATCATCATTCTCTGCCCCTAGTGCACAAGTGTCTCCACAATACCATGGTTCTATGAATGAGAAAAGAGATAAATAAGGTATTATATCACTTAACCTTTACTATTTAGGTATTATTTCTAGGATTACATGATGAAGTCATCTCAGAATGTGATATTAGTATTGAAAAGAAGCAGTTCAACCAACCTTGAAGAGTTTCATCTTGTTTGATTCCCAGGCAGCTTCTGTGGTACCACTCATATCTCTTGCATTTGTCTGCTAGATGACATTGGATCATTTCATTCTCCCCACATGGGCCATGCTTCCTGTGGCAGATGCAGTAGATGTAGTAATCACTTTGTTCACATTCTGGGCTGCAGAACCAGTCCGTTTCAGGATCAGGAGCTTGTGTAAGTCCAACACAGTCAAGATGGAACCATGAATGCTTGCATGTTCTGCTGCAGCACATTACCATGTTATCATTGCTTTCTGAAAAGATAATAAATACAAAAGGGTTCAAAATTTCCAGTGTCTCTGTCAGTCTTCCCTTTTAACTACATGTACTTGTATTTTCATAAATTAATGTGGTAGACAAAATGTAAATAAATGATATTTTACCTATATCAACTTTGTTTTAACGAGTTTTCAATGATTTCTAACATCTGAATATCTGTTGCCAGGCTTATCACTTCATTATACCGTATAATGAGGCACTTACACGCTATATCTCCATTTTATTTAAAAAGTATATCAATCACTACATGGAAATGAAAAGATCATACAGATCATTTTAAGTCAGTTTATTTTAACAATGATTTATACTATACCCTGAATAATTTGTACCGTTTCATTGGGACGTACCTTCAATTCGCCCCCAAAGTTTAAATCTCTTCACAGAAATATCAGACACAATAAACAAACAGTTTACCTGAATGGCAAACACAGTACTGAAGGGCTGTCTCTGATAGGTCATTGGCAGCCTCAGAGAATGCTTCTGCAGCAACATGGACATCTGCTTGGTCAGGACTAGTCCAACAGAAGTCCACGACTTGCTGTGACAGTTGGTCAATCCAACTTATTTGTTCATTAAGCTTTCTGTCGTCAGTTGGAAGACCTTCTGGGATGTCATCCAGCTTCTTCATACCACATAATTTCATAGCGCAAAGCAGAACATGACCTTCTGTTGAGAACTGAATACATGTAATAGACATGAGTAGGTATTATATGCCAAAGGGCCTAAATTAATCATATATCTTTTTTCAGTTTTTACATGTGTAAATCGAAATTCATCATGTGCATCAACCATGCTTTTTATCGACAAAAACAAATTTTAGGAAGTTGAAGATAATTTTTTTTTTTTACTTTAACGAGGCAGTATATACCTCACACTTTAAAAAAATGGAGTATCTTGAGAACGGCAATCGGCCTTTGCACAAGGGGGTCGTAAAAACGGCACATAACCGTCTGGCCAATACATTGAGTGCAACCCCCCCCCCCCCCCCCGGGCCCTAATTGAGTACCAATCATTTATCAAATTAAAATTGACATTATATTTCCATACCCATTTTTCTGGAACCGGACCCTTACTGAACTAATATGGAATTTTACCTGGTACAGCTCCCATACATGTTGGAAAGATTTCATGACATCACTCTGGAAGGAACGATGGTTGAAATTGTTCTTTAGCTGGGCTATGGTTCCTCTGTCTACCAGGCTCGCACCATTGAAAAACTTTTTGTTGGAGTCCTATTGCAATTGGATGTGAATAGGGAAGCTGAATATTTAGAAATAAATGGAACAAAAGCCATCTTCCAATACATATCTACTGTAAAAAAGGACTATGTATGGTGAGGAGATGAGAAAGTAAGAAGGTAATAGTTTACAGACCCATTGCTCCTTGGTCCACACAAACATACCACAAATAATGCACTAATGCATAATGGTCTTTCCACTCTCGGCCTGCACTCTCCTCACAAATTATGAGGGAAAGTGGGGGGGGGGGGGGTAGGGCATGGACAGTACTAGGCTTACATTTGCTTAGGGGCAAAAGGAGAAAATGTGCATGGTAATGTGTACATTGGCTTTTGAGAAAAAGGAAAAAGGAGAGGCAAAAAGTCATGCTACATAATTTGTGCAACAATCATGAAAAGAAAATTATCAAAAAAGTGAGGGAGAGAAAAGGAAACTAAAAGGGGTCGTTTGTTCATCTGGCCCCCAACCCAACGGCCCCTGAAGCAGATCTTTGGCACTTACCTGCAAGTGAAGCATTTCTTTATGGAATTCTTGAGGACATGCATGTAATCCTTCCAAACGATCGTCCCACTCCTCTCCATTGCTCCTTGCTCTTTGAGCATTCAAGATCCTCTCTATTGTCAAGCCATCACCATTGAGAAGACATGGCACAGGTTTTCCTTCCACCACAGGGACATACTGCTGCAGATTCTCCATCACTCGGATCATCCCTTGAGTTGTGCCGGGATCTGCATCTACAACACCTAGTGTCACCTGTTAACATAAACATATAAGACCATAAAATGTGACCTTGTAAAGCAAAGAAAGTTCACTTAAAAGAAATATCATAACATGTATGGAAATGGGAAAAAAATTAATACCGACATTAAAATAATAGTTCAGTGATCTAAAAGAGAAAATAAGTGACACTATTGTACGTAACATGTAGAAGGAAGTAGCCTTTACAGAGAGACTAGAGAGAAAGAAAAATAAAGCCGGCAAACAAGGAGTGGAAAGTCAAAGTGACATAATTGAAATATATATATATTTTTTACAAATGGGGAAAGAAGGACAAAGATAATGAGTGTAAAGTACAAGTTTTGACTATCACTCGTCAACTTACACATTCAGATTTTGCCTGCATATCTTTGGTGTGCTTGTGGAGGATCCTTTGGGGCACTTTGTCTTTGAGATGCTGAAGTTGAGGAATGTATTCCAGAAGTATCTTGCGAACAATGAATGTGGCCCTCTCTCGCTGCCTTTCCAGGACTTCCGGGGATGGGAGGAAGGTGTATGGGTCAAGCTTTGATGCAGGTACTTGGTTCTTTGTATCGCCTGTTGTAACCCTGTCCTTGACAGCGAAACTCATAGTTTGAAGCATGAATGTGTTTGCGTGCCCACTCCTCTGGTGCTTCCCGTGCTTACTTACTTGTATGTTATCACAACAAAAACTATAAACAGACCTAATTGGACGGACTTTGAAGCTCAGCTTCCTTCGTGGTTCGCTCCTCCTTTCCTGAAAATGTAATCATATCAATCATTCACTTTTATCTTTCTCTATTCGTCAGGTCTCATTTTATTTAAAGTGTCATATTTTTTTCCTCAAATAAAAACTGAGTAAGGTACATTAATGGAAGTAATTTCATGTAAAAAACAGGAGAGGTTAAAAATGTTAATATCATAATAAAGTGAATAACTCGGATTAATTTTTTTTATGTTTTATCAAGTAAAAAATCAATTACAATAACATTTACTTCATTAACTAGATTTTTAAAAATGGAAAAGTGAATCTCCGTAGTCGTGAAGAGACTGTGAGCAGCTAGCACCCTTGACAACGGAGGAGAGAAAGTTAAATATCATTGCTTTCAACAATGATAGTGCAAAAACAAAAGAAAATGGAAAAGGACATCTTACCTCCGTTGTGTGTTTCCACTCCCACAGTTGCTTGTCATGGGATTTACTGATTACGTCCACTTTGTTTCTGGATGCTTGGACGCCTTGGGTGATACCCATGTGGTTTAGTGTGAGAAAGACCTTATGACTGACTCTCTGTCTCCATAACTCTATTCCAACACAACCTTGCACAAATGAGTATTTCTTTCTTGACCTTTGGTAGAGAATGGTGGAAAGCAATCGTCCCACTCTTTGGCATCTGAGAGAGGCTGCTTCATCATGGTCTAAATTCCTGGAAATACAGGGAAAAAATGAAAAACATACCAAACAATTAATAAAACGACAGGAGTTTTGATATGGGGTAATCCATATATATCTTTATTAATTTACTTTATTATTCTTCGCACACACAGATTTCTTTATGGGAGTGTCTTCAATAATTATTTTTGAGAGTGTCTTCAAGTTACTTAAAGTATATCATGAAATCATTCGTTCTGAACATGCAATGCTGGAATTTATATAATTAATCAGAATCAACATCGGCCTGCATTTAATTGACGATTGTATTTGAATTTTTTAATTAATTAAAAAACAAAAAACATAAACAAAAAACAAGCAAACAATTATTTGATTGGATGGATCAGACTTTGAATTTCCTAATTGTATTTTAATATGCCTGAAAACTTAAGAAATAGAAATACCTTGTTTTACTTCCTTTCCCTTTGTAGCAATGATTAATTGTCGCCTTCAACGAAAGTGTCATAGCCTCTATACAGCGGACAGTTGCGGGAACAGCCTCTTTTGCATCTTTACATGCTTGGGCCCATGAGAATGACTCAATTGCCTCTGCAGATACCTCCTGTGAAAATGAAGGTATTCTCTTGGCCTTGCTCAACTATATATGCATGAGGAACAAAAATTATAGAACCGACAGTGTGAAATTTAATGTGAGGCACCATTGAATCAGTGGTACTTATTCCAACATCATATGGTTATAGAAGGAGACAGGCGCGTATGCAGGGGGGGGGGGGGTGGCAGGGGTGGAACCCCCCCCCCCCTCCCCTCAACTTTTTTTTCTGAGTGTGATTTAGAGGAAAACCCCCACCCCATCATTTTTTTTTGGTGCAAAAGGATGACCCCAACAAATTGACCTTACCCCTCCCCCCCCCCCCCTCCCCCCTTAAATGATCAAAATATCGGTCGGCCATGCAAATTTTGAAATATCCCCTCCCAGCTAATTCAGCGGCTGGCTGGCTGAGTCGCCGCGAAAGTTTTAGCGCGATTTTAAAATGTTAACCCCCCCCCCCTTGCAAAAATACTGCGTACGCCACTGCAAGGAGATGATTCAAAGACGATGGGATCATTATTACGAAAATTTAATGAAGCCAATGCAAATCCTCAAACTGGGTTAACTTCGACGGCAACCTCGTAGATGTGCTTTTTAAAACTTTATATTTTTATTATTTCTAAATATAATAACATACAAAAGGATATCCATACAATAGAAGTATATAGAAATATAGTATGAATAATAAAATATAAGCATATAACAATACAAATAGAGAAAACCAAAACAAATTTAAAGCGAAATTAGATTGAGAGGAAATCAGCAAAATATAATATAGCTTGTAAGAATTCTGATTTCTTGAATTAAACAATTGCCTAAAGGTAAAATGACAAAGGCTAAATAATTTATGGTTACAAATACTTTTGGCTATTTACGAATAACAAACCACAAAAAAAAGGGGGGGGGGGATACTCTGCCTGTGCATTTAGAGCAATCACGAACTCAAGGTTCATGAAGCAAAATTAAAAATTAAAAGTAGCTCAACATCATTTGTCTTATTCTATAATGAATAAGAGTTCAGCAAGACCTGTTTGATCTTATCCGCTCAAATTTTAATTTTAATCTCATCTATTTTTTAAAGCTATTTGCTCTTCCATTTTATATTTAAAAAACAAGGGGAAACGTTCTTACCTCGCTCTTTAGAATTTCACAAGTAGCCTCCACCATGGCTGATTTGGCATCTTCTGATGATTTGTGAAGAGCACGGAATGCTGTTAAGTATTGTTTTTTGTCAATGTATTTCTTTATCTTTTCCTGGGGGCTAACTCCAGGGAGTGATGGAGTTATAGGGTCTCCTGACGTTTCAGGTTCATCCTCTTCAACATGGTGCTCATCTTCATCCTGAGGTTCTCTGACCAGCTTTCTGCTTGTCTCTGGGGTAGAAAAGGCAGCCACTCGCTTGGCAGCCGGTGATGTTGCAGGCGAACGATACGTCCGTTTAGTCCTGTTCGTCTTTAAGGGGGCACTTTTGTTTCTCACAGTGTGTTTTACTAACTTATACCTGCATTCCTCGCAAATGTAGCTGTACAGGATGCCTTCTCTGTGAAAAACTTTACTTATAGTTCTAGGACTCGTTATTCTAATAAGCTGTTTTCTTCTAAAACCTTTTCTATTTTTAACAAAGTACACTGAACAAACTGCGCATTGCCGCTCTGTTACAGACAGACCGGCAAGCTGACTGCTGTAGTTGCTCGCCATGCTGTGCGCTCTCCATGCCAAGTCCCATCTGCGAGCTGCATGAGCTCAAAACGAAAGAGAATCCCCGGTTTTCCCAGGTCCCTCGGCTCTTCTCAACCTCATGCATATTCAGCGATTTCGAGCGATCGGCGCTCGATAGCATGAATATTCATGAATATTCATATATTTTGCGCCACTGCCGCGCATGCGTACCTGCTCATCGCCATTTTGAATCGACGCTGCGAGATGGAAAAATCGTTGGTGTAGTATGTTGAATTAACCTTTTTTTACCATCGAAGACTTCTTCAAATGATACATTTTAGTGATTGGAGTCGAGCCCTGAGAAGTCGTGCACCCTATGATGTAAAAATTGTAAGTACCCTTTTTGAAGATTTAACGATCAAATCACCCAATCGGCTGGGCAAGTAGCCACCCAACAAACCACCCGAAGCTCCGACGCTGCGCGCCGGTGTTGGAGCTTCCCGGAGTTAGCTAACAACATGTTTGTGTTGCACTTGCAGGAACAATAAACTGCACATCGCATCCGCTATGCACGCGGCTACCGGCTCGAAAGGAATTGCAAGCGCGTTCGCGACTAATTTTGCGCTGACGGACTTAGCGCTCAAATTGACCACATTTGATATAAAATAACCCACTTTAAATTAAAACAAAAAGACATAAACACTGGAACTTGATAAAACTCATTTCAATAGACTTACCAGGTTCACATGAATTGCATTTTTAGGTGACAAACCAGCATAAGAAAGAGAGAGCGGTCGAAAACCGAACAAATTTGCGTAGACTGTATGCCCAATATACGTATGGTAGTAGTAAAGAGTCACGAAAAAAGATATTACAAAATACGTGCGGACCACGCGAGGATGTATTTCCCAAAAAAACTTCAAATGATTTAGGTCAATTAAAGTTGTTATCCTTCTTTGTCTCGCTCAGACCGAACTATTGTTATATATTCATCGCTTTGCCGATTTTATAATTCTTGAGTAAAGGGATAATAATGCTTTAAATATTGATTATAATAACAAAAACAATAATAATAATAATAATAATGGTAACATAATACGCCTTTTGTGTATGCGTTACAGTCTTTCCAAGTAGGGCTATAAATGTCTTTTCCATTTTTTCCACTTTTTTTCTTTTTCTTTTTGTTTAAGGGTGGAAATTTAGCTTTAGTTGTTATTTTCATTGGGTCAGAAAAGTTTGGTTTGCGTTAGATAAAGGTCCTGACCTAAGATCGAGGCTAGACTATGCGCTAAAAACGTCCAATGGATCGGTGTCCTCGTCGCGCATAGGCCTACGTACATGCCACGGACGCGCATTTCCTAAAGGAAATGTCTGGTTCTGTTATCTTTTTTTCTTCTAAGTTCCTATTTCTCATTAAAATATTCTCCATTTTGGAGGACCTACTTGTAGGTCTTCGTACATGTTCCAGTAAACATTTAGCTCACATAAAAATAAAAATGTGGGACACTAACTTCAGGCATATTGAAATTCGGTCATACTGGGAAGAATAGAACCTGAATGACTGTTTTATTAAATTCAACACAATTTAGCAGAAATATATAATAATGACTTTTCAATAACTATTATTTTCAGAGGAAATTCCTGAACGTTCTACAGTAACATGACTTTCAGTTGCGCTCAGTAAATGCACCCCATGTTCTGAAACTAAATGTATATTTAATTTAAGGGAAACGATAACAAACGATTGATATTGCGCGGACTAACACTCACCATTGGTCCTTACATGCAGATCTCCCTTTTAACTGTACGCGAACGCAGTCGAGTTTGCGCGGACATTAACCAATCATGTGTCTTGACAATTAACATCATATTGCTGACTTTCACGTAATACCACTGGAAGACACCATTCACCCGCGTAAAGGTGGAAGCTAGCCCTGGGTTTAAAGGCCGTCCGTACTAGTTTGGCTAGGAGGGATTATACCAGACAGGGCGCTATCTCATCAACATAAGAAAAAGAGGATCATGGGGAACAAATGCATGGTCACTGATTACTGATTATAGGCATTGGTTTCTATATAGAGGGAGCAAGAAAGTAGCTACAAGTAGACTAGTACAGTACAAAGTGCGATAAAGATCATGACGCGTAACAAATTAATGGCAGGGCCGATCCAAGCATCTTCAGGAGCGCGTACGCAACTTTATCATGCCAATTTACTTTTTAGACAACGGACCTACCCCCCCCCCCCTCCCCCCAACCTTGATATTAGCGGGATTTTGATGAAGCTCCTAATTTTGATGGGCACGACACGATAAGACAAGTATAGGCGAAGCAGACGCGGTGGACAAAAATGAGCGCTAGGGATAATGTCTGCCCTGAACCGTATCTCGTTATATACACTGGAGGTTGTTCCCAACACACATGGCTGGTGAAGGCCTGGTAACACCTTGGCTACACAAAGAAAATGAGATTGGGGCTAGTATGTCTATTATTTATCCAGCCTAATATTCGTTTGGCATTAAGAGACGAGGTGAATGCTTAGAGTCTGTATGTCTATTTAAAAGCAAGGACTGTATTGTCAAACATTTTTATGTTAGTATACATGTATATATATATATATTCATATACATATTTACATACAAATATGTACTTTGGGTTTGTATTAAATGTTTAGTACTCGGATCTTTTCGTAACAATTCGTTTTACGATATTGATACAATAAAAAAAGAAAAGTTTCTAACCCACTACAAATATGTACTCTGACTTTGAAGCGACGCTGCATGCAGTGAAGCCTTCATTGCATGTTGACTGTTATGTATAGTTCGGGCCGCACGGTCGTTTTTGTTCGTCACATGGTCACATGACACAGATGCAAGTTAACAAAACGGGCTTAAAATTGAATCGCGGAAATTTCCGATCACGCGTTGAGCGCGTGCAATGCCGGTATATAGGGCAGACATATCCGTCTATCAGTCGCGATTAGAAGGTCAAACGTTATCGTGCACAAAATCGCTTTCAAACGTTGTGCAGTTTATGTTTGACCATGACGTAACGTTATGAGGGATTTGACGCCGTTCAAAGAGTAAAGTCACTACTTATCTACATGAGCGTAAATAAGCTCCAAAGTTTTAGAAAATCGAATGGTAAAAGATGCACCCTGCTATTAAAGGTACGTCCGATTTGCAGGCCCCAAAATGAAAAGGTTAAACTACAAAGGCATTTGAAAGATAATACTAATTTAGAACTTTCCTCAAAACGAAAGGGCTTGAAAATGGTTTTTAGTTGGAAAATTAACGACCATAAGTTGTCGAATCGACTTAAGTGATTGCAATCATCTAAGTAATAGTCTGATTTTCAGACTCTTTTACTGAATGGTCGTACAGTTTGTGCCGCACAAAGATTCAAACAGCTTAATTTAGGCAATTACAAGTAGCAGGCACGTAGCAAAGGGGGGGGGGGGAGGGGGTTGGCACGTGCCCTCAAACATTTCCAAGGTCGGTTGAACTTTTTTAGACCCCCCTTTTTTTTTACCTCGATCAATTACATGTATGTGCCCCCCCCCCCAAAAAAAAAAACAACAAACAAAACAAAAACAAACATGAAACTCTGGCTATATACGTGCCTGACAAGTAGTGGGTTAATGAGATGTAGACAAATGCTCATATACCTGTTACGTCGTATTTTATGTACCGGTATGTTATTACCTAAGAAATAAATATGTCAGTCAGTCAGTCAATAGTGTCTGACAGTGAAGTCTAGATGGTAAGCGGATCCTTGCATATTTTGAATACTAGGACACGGCTAATGTTTACATACATGACATAATTTTGTATTCATAATTCCTGTAAAGTTCTACAGAATTTGATGTTGGCTGCAAAAGGGACATGGATCTTTAAATTGGTAATAAAGAAACAGACAAAAGAGAGGAATAGGTCATATCGTAGTGCGAATTTGAGTACAAATCAAATTAAAAATAGGAAAGTTATACATTTTTGAAGTCGTGATAAATCAAACACAACATCTTGCGAGGTCCCCTCCAATTTGCTCTGTACTATATAAAAACAAAACAAAACTAACAGAAATTTCTATACTTTTCCTAAAGAAAATGTTCAATCATACAAGGGTATTCTTGCAAATAGGCCTACACCCCGTAATGAAACAAATCTATTCCGTCATCAGTACTTAACTAAAAAAAAAAATGAACGATTTTGAAATTATGAGCAAAATTTGATAATCAAAATCGAGATTACTGTCCACACGCTCGCCCTCTTTCGCGGGATCACTGAGCATGACCTGTCATTAGTCTGCAAGCACAGACACAACTTGACACTTAACTATTCCTAAAGCCTCGAGAACAGCCTAGCTCTGTCAGTGTTCTATGTCAACCCATAGTGGCAGGGGCAGCTTAATTAAAGGGAAGTCCGACCTTCATAGCAAACAACTCTTAGACACTGGTAACAGTTTGAATACAATTGGGGGGAAAAGAGAAAGCTGTGACTGAGTTTTACAATTTTGAATCACTGTAGATAATTATGGGCTCTACAAATTAGCTGTCTATGTGATCACGATGTAGTGGCGGATAACATTCCCAATGGTTACAAAACAATTGAATGATTTCGATTTTTCAATAAAAAGTATGACACAGGATCGAGGGTCTTTTTACTTAGAGGACCTACAATTATCTCCTATCCATTACGTATCTTGAGAAAGATATGTTATCATTATTAACCTCAAGAGAAAGGTAAAGATATGTTAATATTACGAAATTCACAATCTAATAGTCTGAAGAGACAAATTAATTGGCATCTCTGTCATGAATCATATATCGTTGTGCCCACTTGTAACTTAATACCATAATTTTTATCTCTTTGTATTTAATAGTTTTATTTCAAAAAGTGATTTATAATTTGCTCGCACTAAAAATTGTTTTCGCTTTTATGTTTAGGAATATGCCAGTATTTCAGAAAAATCTGTATAGGAGTAGATTTAATAATAACAAAATTGATAGTTGCGAGATATTATTCTAGTTAATGAAAGAGAACAACTATTTCATGAAGGTACTTAAATTATAGAATAAGCACACTATATGCACAAATTAATAGAACTGGAAAACGGCATAAGCCGAATTTAAGACATCAGGAGACCCAGGTAATATTAGCTGAAATTATGATATGAAAGGCGGAGCCAGGAATAGCATCATACTTCAAGATCACAGACCAAATTTTCTAAATGATCCATTATTAGTCCAAACTCCTCCCCCCCCCCCACGAAAATACTTTCAAATTTCGTAATAGCCTGATTCACCCCCCCCCCCCCCCCCCCCTCCACCTTCACTCTCTCTTCACCCTCCCTTTTCCTGTAAATTTTAGTTGGCAACCTTATTCTAATCTCTTTTTTAATGTAACATACACCCTCTTATACTAATTTACCGCTAAATTGAAGAATGAAGACCGGCCAAGATTCATCAGTCATGTTCCATCGTGACAACGCGCAATTTTGGTGACTAAAATAAGATTTTAAAAAATAAAAAAAACATTTTTTAAAAGAATATCCCTAATTGCAAACTTTAAAAACCACTTTCCTTTAGAACCACCAGCCACTGGTTGTTTCATTTAATTTTGTTTACATGTGCATTTATTTAGTTATTCATTTAATTTATTTTTTTTTTAATTTTTAATTTAGTATTAATATTTTTTTTTTGGAGGGATGTCAAAATAGCCTAATTAGCCTTTCAGTCAATGGAATAAAGCATCGGATTGTCAATATAGGGTTCCTTGAAATCTTTTGTTTTCCTTTCTAGGCCAACTTTATGTTGCTAATATCACATTGCGTTATCAATAAATATTAATGTGGTAATCCACTGAAAT